CCCACAATTTCTGTGGTTAAGTGAAACATTTGCTAAGTGAGGTCTGCCCCATTTTATGACTTTTCTTGCCAGTGTTGTTAACTGCAGTTGATAAGTTAGTAACCCAGTTGTTAAGTGAATCTGGCTTCCCCATTGACTTTGCTTCTCAGAAGATCGCAAAAGCTGATCCCATGACCCCAGGACACTGCAACAACCATCACAAATACAAACCAGTGGCCAAGCATCTGAATTTTGATCACATGATCCTGGGGATGCTGCAAAGGCCGTAACTATGAAAAACAGTCAGAAGTCACATTTCTCAGGGCCGTTATAACCGAACGTGTCATGAAACGAACTATTGTTAAGTCGAGGACTGCCCGTATTTTAAAATCAAGCTGATATACCAAAACATGCCAGATGAGAAGAGAAGACTGCAGTAGGGATTGGAGGGTGATTGTTGCCTATTCCAATTAAAAAGCATGCAAGGTCTAGTAAATGATGTGGGTTGCTTTTTAAGCTGCCAAAGACTGGCGTTTTGTTTTGTTTTTTTGGGGTTTTTTTTTTTTTTTTTTTTTTTGCAGATTCCTTTATTTTAAACCTGTGCCTAAAATAAAGCCGAGCGCGGGAGGAAGGGGGACGTGAGGTTACAGAGGAGGCAGTACTGGAGGGGTCCGAGGCGACAGGAGTGACAGACGGTGGGCGAGACTGGGACGACAATCTAAAAGGAGGGGCAGCTGTCTGCGCCTGCTCTCCCCCCCCCAAACAACACACACAACTGTCCCCCTCCCCTTCTGCACTATTTTCCCCGCGGAAGCGAGCAAGCGGGGAACCCCCGTGCAAAATGCAAAAGCCACCAGAGACCCCCAACCTCTCTCCGAGCTCGTAGAAGTAGCCCCTCGCTCGCCTTTCCCTCCCTCCTCCCTCCCTCCCAGAGCCGGCGAGCGGCCTCCTCCGGCGCTTCCCAGCCGCTTGAGGGTTACTATGGCGACCCCGGCAGCTGCTCCCTGAGGCCTGTCTGTTGCCTTTTGGTCACGACATAAAAGAGAGAACAAAAAGGCGGGCGCCAATATATGCCGGGGCGGGGAGGCGAGGGGGCGGCAGAGGAGTGGGGCCTCCCCAAAGCAGCCGCCCGTTCCCCGCACCGCTCCGCGGAGTAAGTTGTGAGAAAGGAGGAGGAGGAGGAGGAGGTGGGGATGGGAGGAGGAATGGAGGCTTAAGGCGGTGAGAGAGCGCAAGGCAAGTCTCGGGGCGCCGGGAAAACGACTTGCTGCCTTATTGTACCTCGACGCGAATGTAAAAGCATGAACCCAAAAGGATGCTGAAGATGAAAAAGCCAACGAAAAGAGGGATTATTACTTTTTTTTTCCCCGGGGTCTGTCATCGACGCCGTGGGAACTTCAAGAGATCGAGTTATATCCAATTTAGGAGTAATTTAATTCCCCGGGCAAAAAGAAAAGGGATTTATTTGCCTCTCAGAAAATTGCAGGCTTTCATTTTAGCGGCTGCAAAAGAGTAGTAGGCTAGCAAGAGTGGTGAAGAATTAAGCGGAATTGTGGAGGGAGCAGAAAGGGCAGGGTGCCTTGCTGGGTGGCAGGGCAGGGGGGCTGAGGTCTCATCCAGATTCCCCAGGCCTGTTTGCTGACTTGGATATAAAGAAAAGGTGACAGGAAGCAGGTACTTAGAACAGAATTTTCTAGGCCAAGAAAAAACAGATTGATTGGCAAGGAATTGTGGCTAGCATGGTGCATATACTCATGCAGAGTTGTGTGTGTGTATTGTGTCTATGTGTGTAATATATATATTCTTTTTAGGTCTATGTTCTTTCAATTCAATTTTTTTATTCTTGGCAAGAGCCTGGACTAGCCACCTTGAGCATTCTTGCCAAAAATTCAGAAGTGGCTTGCCATTGTCTCCTCCTTAGGGCTGAGAAAGAATGACTGGCTCGAGGTTACCCGCTGGTTTGTGCCAGCATGATGCCTTAACCATTATGTCAAACTGGCTAAATGTATGCGATGACATATAACTGATCAGGTAAAAATGAAGAGGCCAATAGTAATAGTAAAAAGTAAAAAGACTTCAGAATTCAAGTCTGGCATGCCTTTTTTCTGATAGTATTGAAATCAACAAAAAGCCAGCCAGTTGGGTCTAATGGTTAAGGCCCCAGGCTAGAAACCTGGGATCTGTGATTCTAGTCTTGTTTTAGGCATGAAAGCTGACTGGGTGACTCTAGGTCACTCACTCTCAACTTACAATATCAGGCTCGATTAACAAGCCAGTCAGACAATTCCTGTCACAGCCAATGGATCAACACTGTGGATCTGAAAAAAAAAAAACCTGCTCTATGGGAAGATGCTAGGAAGAAAAAAGATCAAATCAACAAAAACATTTGGATAGCTTACTGATCTTGACAGTAAGGGATGTTTGATGCTGATGCTGCTTTACAAAGAGTTTAGAACTTGCCATAATTCCCATACCCTCCTCTGGTTTCTGAGTAAATATTTTCAGAAATGAGAAACCAAGATTGTATGTATATTTTTACCCTAGCATTCCTAGATATAATTCAGTAAACTCTGTAGCCTGCCAAATCCAATTAAATTGGCAATCTCCAAACATTTCAGATGATGGACAGTACAGATTTTACATATCAGTAATAACCTAGGATCTTTTCCCCTCCTCTTTCTCTTCTGCCTTCATTGTGTTTAACATCCAGCCCTAATGAAAAGTTTTAAGAACTTAATTCATAAGTTTATTTATTATGTTGTGACATTTAAATTAGTTCCAATACTTAATATCATAGAGTTTGAAATATATAAATCCATGCGGCAATGGCATGTGTTACTAAAATAAAAGCTATTCATTATCTCATAATAAATGTTTTTTAACAGTGTAAGAATATTTTGATAGATTCAGACAAAACCTAACTATTCTTCAATGTTTTCCAAGAATTCTAAAAATTAGCCAGTGTACCTAGTTGATTACTTTGAAGCCTGTTAGTGAAAGTAAAAAATTTAAGAAAATTTTGTTCTTGTTATATGCTTCCAAACCTGATGACAAAGGTCTGAAGGAAAGATAGGACCAGGAAACAAAAAATGAATGATCTGATATGTAGGATATCTATCGTGTATATATATTTTTAGGTTCAAGAAAAGAAAGATTGGATCCGTCATATCTTTTCTATGTATTCTTCAAATACACTGATCATAAATAAATTCATAAATTTAAATAAATAAACTTGGAGACTATAGATTGAGGTTTTCTTATGCGTCATTAGAAGGAGGACTGGTGACAATTTTATCTTTTATACTCCTAACATCCCATTGCTTGTACTGTGAGTGAAACCAGTAAAAAAAATAAATGTAAATTAAGTGACTGAGGTAAGGAATTTTATTATAGAACATGCATGATAGAAAAAGACGCTTTGAGTGGGTGGAATGAAGAAAAAATTATGGTTCTATGATGGAAGCGCTTGGAAAACAGCAATGCTGTAAGAGTTCTAAAGTAAGAGACTAAAGGAAATAGTTTTTACATGGATGGCAAGAAGGCTATGAATAGTCCTTGTTTAGTGACTGCCTTCTACATGGACTGTTCGCAATTATGATGCTGATGAAAAAGTAATGTTATCAATCCTAACATTTATGACCTTAGCAGATCTGTAATGTAAATGAAAACTGAAGTAAGATCATACTATAAGTATAGTTGCAGTTGCAGTTACCAACTACTTTATTTAACAATTGAGTTGCCAGTCCCAATTGTGGCCACTAAACAATGACTACTTTCAGTGTATATCATAAAAGATAAGCTAGAGAAAAGCACCTATTATTTCCTTAGAAATGTAGAGTTCTGTTGAAGTCCAATGGGGTACAATGGGGTTATTTTCTATTGAAGTTTGGACCTGAAACTAGAACTACATTTGTAGCTGTCAGTCTCACTTTGGATACTTTTATTGAGAAAACAATTATTATTAATTTGATTAGGTGCCACCAACTTGTTGAGTCTTAGGAACCAGGTTGGCAGATTTTCTCCCTGGTCTTTCAGGTCTTCCAATGGTGCCTTCATTGCCACTGTAACTGAGTCCATCTATTTTGATTATTTCTCATTTTCTCTTTCCTCCTACTTCTTCCAGCATTAGAGCCTTCTCTGGAAAGCTAGTTCTTTGCATATTGTATTCGAAGTAGAATAATTTGAAACTTGGTCATGTGTTCCTCAAAAAGAGACCCATTTGTATATTTTCTTGGCTGTCCATGGTATTCTCAGGAACCTTGTCCAACATCATTGCAGGGTTCTTGCAATTACATGAACAAAATTGCCCCACCTGCATTGGTACTGTCTTTTGGCTGCCTATCTACCTGCTGCTGTCAGCTGCCCCCATCACCTAGCCCTGCCCCCTGTGGGCCATTACTGTACCAAAGGAAGCCTCTTTCATGCCATCTAATCTTGCAGTGGTGCAGCTGGGATCTTCTCTTGCATGCCAATCGGGGCCTCCATTTGTGTGATGACCAGGGCGTCCATTCAGACCCACCCAGGGCCCCTGTTCATATGGCAGCTAGGGCTTTCCTTCACATGTGATTGCAAAAGAAGGCCTCAATTAGAAGGAGGCACTGACTAGTGTATAGAGGCCCTAGGACAGGGATTCCCAACCCCTGGTCCATGGACTGGCACCAGTCCGTAGCATGCCAGAAATTGGGCCACGCAAACAAGGGAAGCCCCATCTGCAGGAAACCACACACATGAAACCACACTCACTCCGGTCCAATTTTTTGTCAACTAATTTGTAAGATCCACAAATAATCCAAATGAGATTATAGGGTTTTTTTGTCTTTTGTTGTGAAATGCTAGTGATATTAACAATATTGAAAATAAATTCTTATCAGTTCTCCAATATTGCAGTATTATAACTAACACAATTGTGAAGCAAAGGAGACATTATTTCTTTAAGAAAAAGTTATTCTACTTATACTACTTATACATTCATTTATAAACAATATATTGTTGATTTACACATTCTTTTTGTTATTTTTCAGTTTATTATCTTTAAATACAGAGCTGCTAGACTTCTGGCTTAATCAAAGTTAACTAACAAATGGAAGAAAAGTGGTATTATACAGAAAACAATGGCAGTGGAGATAACCGTCAAAATACTCAAAGGCGGAGCGATTCAGTTTCTAGTTCATCAAGGCGCATCCACCGAGCTCTTGAAAAACTGGTATCTAATTCAGCAGTGTCTTTGGATCTGAGTCGAAAAGATCTACAACATCTTACTGCAGAAATATATAGATTATTTAACCTTAGAGTAAGTTTTTCATTGTTAACATACCTAATTAAAGGATAGCTGAAAAAAATAGATGCTTTCCCACTTGAGATTTGCAATATGTACAAATTGCATTTTTAGATTACTATATCCTTGATTATCCTTTAAAAATTACTTGAATAATTTTAGCACTTTTTATTTTTTGGGGGGAAATCATTACTCTCAAATTATATGCTAAGCATAGGCTACTCATTCTCTCTCCCTCTCCCTCCCTCTCTCTCTCTCTCTCCCACTCCCACTCATCTCTCATTTTAGTATTTACATCTGGAAGGAAATGCCATTTCTGTAATTCCTGAAGATTTTTTTCAGAGCCTGTCAAATCTTACTTGGCTAGATCTGCGCTATAATAAATTGAAAGAGCTTCCTTCTGGGATTGGATGCCACAAGTAAGTTTTCTGCTATATAATATGTCTATTGTTTTTTTAAAAGGAAGTTGTTCAGTAGTAGATACCATGTATCTACTACTCAACAAATTGAATAGTAGTACCATGTATGATTAAATATTAACCCTAATTATCAAAAGAACAAAATACAGATAGCCTTCGCCTTACAATAGCTCCATGGTCACATGATCAAAATCTGGGTGCTTGGCAATTGGTTCGTATTTATGACAATTGTAGTATCCTGGAGTCATGTGATCACCTTTTGCAACCTTCTTACAAAGTCAAAGGGGAAGACAGATTCATTTAATAATCATGTTACTAATTTAATAGCTGCAGCATTCACTTAACAACTGTGGCAAGAAAAGGTTGTAAAATGGGGCAAAATTCACTTAAAAAATATCTCAGCAACAGAAATGTTGGAGTCAGTTGTGGGGTAAGTCAAGAACTGCCTGTATTGGAAATACTTTTGCAATGTATGGACTTCATTTTTTAGAATTCTTAACAAAGGCCATGATGAATTGAAGAATTCTGGGAGTTGAAATCCACACATTGTAAAGTTGCCCAGGAAGCACTGTTATAACTATACCAGTGGTGAAATCTAAAATTTGTTACTACCAGTTCTGTGGGCGTGGCTTGGTGGTGGGGTAATGTGACTGGGTGGGCGTGGCCAATTTTTTTTTTTAACTTTTAAAACTATTTTTTCTACAAACCATTTTTTAAAACCAAATTTTCTTTGGCGAAGAGGTTGTAAAAAAAATGCTTTCAAAAGGCTCTGACGATCCCAGCTGAGTTGCCTGATCGTCAGAGGCTTTTTTTTCTTTTAAATGCCTCTGCTGATCAGGCAACTCAGCTTGGATCGTCAGGCATTGTCTTGGATTGTCAGCTTGGAGAGTCAAACTCAGCTTGATGATCAGGCAACTCAGCTTGGATCGTCAGAGGTATTTAAAAGAAAGAAAGCCTCTGATGATCGCAAGGCTCAGCTAGGCATGGGAGGGGGCAGGGATTTTTGCTACTGGTTCTCCAAACCACCCACCTCCATCGCTACCGGATCGGGTGATCCGGTCCAAACCGGGAGCATTTCACCCTTGAACTATACCCTTCAGCAATTCTTTGTCCTTAAAATAGCCTGGCTGAAGAGACATTAGGAAATGCTACAAAAACACAAACACCCCATTTATAAAATACAGATGAAATTAAAAAGCTCCAAAGTTTCTTTTCCATTGCTTTAACAAAATATGAAAATAGGTGTTATAAAGTGTTGCCCTTTAGGATTGCTTCTCATTTGGATGAGGCCATATGTCATTAGTATCACTAGTAAAGTGTGGGGCAACTAATAATAACAACCAGATTTAATTCTTAAATAGGAGATTGATATAGAGCAGTGATGGCTAACCTTTTTGCCATTGTGTGCCAAAAGCGCGGGGGAGGTGGGGGGTCGAGTGCGCGTGTGCCAATACCCATAATTCAATGTGCCCTGCCCCCCATGCATGCACGCATGAACCCCCCGCGCTCCCCCTGCTTTTGGCACGCGATGGCACAGTGGGCCCGGTAGGCCTGTTTTTTGCCCTCCCCAGGCTCCAGAGGCTTTCTAGGAGCCTGGGGAGAGTGAAAATGGTCTTCCCCACCCCCCCGGAGGCCAAAAACAGCCCGTTTCCCAATTTCTGGTGGGCGCAAAAGGCCCGAAAATCAGCTGGCTGGCGTACGCATGCACACTGGAGCTGAGCTAGGGCAACGCTCGCGTGCCCACAGATATGGCTCCGTGTGCCACCTGTGGCACATGTGCCATAGGTTCGCCATCATGGATATAGAGCCTTGATTTCAGGTTTTTTTTAAATATGCCATATGGGTGCATTTTTTCATGATAAATATATAAGCAAGCTTTTCAAAATAATGTATATACAGTATATACAGTTTTAAATAAATAAATTTAAGGATGGGAACAGATTTTTCTGTAATTCAGGTGTATGCCAACTTCTAGAAAGAAAGTGAGATCTTATTTTATATCAAGAGAAATGGATAAAATGAGGAAAACTGACTCCTTTCTAAAACCTTGACACACCTTCTTTCCATATTCAGCCAGGCAGAGATATCCCACAATGAACCATCAATATAAATTCAATAAATAAAATAAAATAAAATGCTCTCCCAATATGTACAGCAGAGTGTGATGATGATAAACTGTATTCTACTTAATGAAAAATCTAGTTTTCCATTAAAATAATATAAGAATATATACATTAATTAGCTCTTATTTTCATGACTGATCATATTTGTCATTATACATTTAACTATTATTTTCTGATTTATTAAAAAGGCAGCTGAAAACTCTCCTGTTAGAAAGAAATCCTATTACAAGGCTACCAGTGGAGCTTGGTAAGTATTCTGTCCCTTCAATAATATGTAACTAAACATACATATATTCCTTTCAGGATACTCCCTCTCAGGGTAAGCAGCATGAGGCAAAGTTCAGAAAAACAGTTAGAACCAATGGCATTGATGACATAAGTTAAGAGAAAAGGAAAAGAAATATAGCTTGATCTAGCTTTTTTTCCCCCAAGTACATATTAGATAAAATATATAAGCATGAATTGAATACATAAAATGAATACAATTAAAGAGAACATAGGACAGGGACGGTAGGCACGCTGGTGCTCTTATGTATGCTCCTTACAGACCTCTTAGGAATGGGTTGAGGTCAACAGTAGACAGTTTTAGGTTAAAGTTTTGGGGGTTTGGGGATGAGACCACAGAGTCTGGTAGTGCATTCCAGGCATTAACAACTCTGTTACTGAAGTCATATTTTCTGCAATCGAGTCTGGAGCTTACAACTACAATAACTATATTTTCCTATCATTCTTGTTTTTATCATACCCTTATATTACTTCATATATTGCTTTTTATTTTTTAGACTTCTCACATTTTTCTTTCTGAGGATCTCATCAGTTCCATTCAGTCACAGATTTCTTGGTCTTTTCTTTCTTCTTAACCTATTCACTATTCTTTTAAATATTTGTTTTGCACTTTTATCCTCATTCATTCTCAGTATGTGACCGAACTGCTTCAGTGTGCTTACTTTGTACTGATGATCCACTTTAGTATTCAGTCTACATAATTACTTCATTTTTGTTCCTCTCTCTTTTTATTTCATTTTCTTTTTTTTAAACAATGTTTTCCCCAAAGGTTGATCACATGACTGGGGCTAGTGCAGTGGCCATTAGAGAAAACTGGTCATAAGTCACTTTTTTCAGTTCCATTGTAACTTTGAACAGTCATTAATTAAATGGTTGTAAGTTGAGGACTACCTGTAGTTATTTCTATTGATTGATTGAATATTACCTTCAAATGGAAACTGAGGTATTTCACTGAATGGGTTATCTGACAGCCAGTTTCTTCCCACAAGAGATTATTAACTTTTTTGTTTCATCTTCTTAAGCAATCTTTTCTCATAGCACTTAACCACTTTCATGTTTCTCCTGATGCTGTTCCCATCTCTCACTTTCATAAACAGAAAAGTGTACTTATATACAGCCATTTTGCTTCTTTTGACAAATATTTATTCATCACAAAAAGCCATATACTTTCTACTGCCTTCTAACCCAGGCAAGGTCAATTATTTTCTGGCATCTTTTCCTATGTTGGTGTTGGTGCTTTCACATTTAAGACACCTTTTCTATCAGAGTTGTTAAGTTCCAATCTTACTCTTTACGTGTACTGACATAAACACCCTACAAACACACAACAAAAAGTCACAGAAAATATTGAGATTCCTAAAAACCAGGGCGTTCCTGAGGTGACTGATTTTTCAAACTTTAAAATGTTCTCCTTTCTTATTCAGTCTGTTGTGCAAGTAATCATTGTCCATATTACACTGACATACATTTAAAATGTTTCTAATATATCCACCTCATGTATTACATGTTAAGGAACATTTTAATATCACTGCTATGCAAGGTTTATCAGTATTTCATTTTTTTATACTTCTAAAAGTGCTATAGGAGCCTTGTATTTTCCTAAGAAAGTATCAACAAGGTCTATGTGAAGTTATTTTTATTATTATATTGGAAGTTAAAATACCCATGAGAATAAATAAGAATAGTGACGGGGTAGGACGGTGGGAGAGGCACAGAAGATTTGAAACTGGGAGTAGCATGACTACTGTTTTTATTACTGCTGAGGAATATTCTTGAAAAGAAAAATTGTTTTACAACATTAATAATAGGGTTTAACTGACAGCAATTTAGAATAATATAGAAAGGTATTTGTATTCCAGCACTGCTTTTACAGAAATAATTTGTGCAAATATACATGTAATCATGAATAAAATATAGACTAATGTAGAATACTAAGTACTACACTTTCGAAAAATAAGAGCGAAACAGCAGAAATAGTAATTACTCAAGCTGTGAGTGGACATTTTAAAATACTATTTTGAAGGCAGTGTGAAAAATGTGTTATTACCTGCATTATGATCTTGGCAGTTTTCATATTGTTTTCCCCAGTTATATATTGGTTCTGTTTATCTTACATTACCCAAATGTATTTGTACTGTTAACATTTTTCTTAATGAAATTAAATAGGCTTCTCTAAAGGGAAAAATAAATACATTGTAACTTAAGTATATTTTAAATTTTGATATAATTCAGAAGTTTTTCAATACACTTTTTATCCAAATGTGATAAGTGCAATGGAAAATTAAGAACTGTGGATAACGGAGTAGATTTTGGTCCTAATAGTTTAGGTAATAATCACTCTCATTTTCTAGAGACATTTGCAGGTAATCCTTGACTTATAACAGTTCATTTAGTGACTGTTTGAAGTTATGACGGCACTGGAAAAAAGTAGCTTATGACCGTTTTTTACACTTACAACCATTGCAGAATCCCCAAGGTCACATGATCAAAATTTGGATGCTTGGCAACTCATTCAAATTTATGACGTTTGCAGTGTCCCCAGGTCATGTGATTTCCTTTTGCAAACTTCTGGCAAGCAAAGTCAATGGGAAAGCCAGGTTCACTTAACAACTTTGTTACTAATTTAACAACTGCAGTGATTCACCTAACAACTATGGCAAGAAAGATCATAAAATAGACCGAACTCAACAAATGTCTCATTTGGCAACAGACATTTTGAGCTCAATTGTGGTCATAAGTCGAGGACTACCTGTACTGCATACAGGACATTTATTATACATATAACGACTTATTCAGAATTTTTTTTCAAGATATCCAGATAATATTTTCTCTCCAGAACATTCTTATGTTTTCCCATGTCTAGAGAAAAGAAGAATATCTGCCCAATAGCTTTTGATTCAAAGCTATAAGGAGCTGCCCAGATGAAAACACCTTTCTTTCACAGTGTATGATTAAAACAACATTTTAAATTTCATGGAATCTATAAGAACTAGCATAAAATTAAATACAGTAAAGATAAGGGAATTTCCTGCCCTCTAGTGGACACATCTTGTAAAAAAAACAGTTTCTGGAGTTACATACCTCAGCAGTAGGGCTAGATATATATTTTTCAGGGCCTGTTTGATATGTAGGGTAGTTGTATCAGTATCTAGTGGAATAAGGTGATTACAAGGAGCTATACAGAATTAGTCCTGAATAGTGTCTCCTTCATTGCCTATTAAAAGAAATTCCTTTATATACTGAGCAGCTCCGGGAGAAAAAGTGGATGAATAACACAATAACTGAGTTGGAAAGGACCTTGGCGGTCTTCTACACAATCCCCAATTCAAGCAGTAAAGCCTACATCATTTCAGATAAATCATTGTCTCTTCTTTAAAGAAGATAAATCTCTTCTTTAAACCCTTCAGTGTTAGAGCACCCAAAATTTCTGGAGGCAAGTCGTTCCATTGATTAATTGTTCTAACTGTTGGGAAATTTCTGCTTACTTTTAGGATGAAGAGGCTCCTAAAACACTAAGATAATATCCTGAGTTTATAGGTGTTTGGAATTAATGGAGTTTGATGTTTTGCTTGGTTTTAAAGATGTGGAGTATATTGTAGATCACAGTGTGCACTGATTTTTTAAATGACTTTTTTAAAAAAAATCTTACATCCTCCTTGCTTGGAGTTGGTCCCAGCAGCAGCAGTGGGGATGGAAGATGGAAGCCAGCAGCATGAGGCAGTGGGGATCAGCTTCACCAGCAGCTGTGGCTTTCTACTTTGCTGGCTCATAGATAACCCTACAATGGAGCAAATGGCCTGGTCCTTGCACCTATACAGAACAGAGATGAGTGGAGTTACTTCTTACAACTGAAGGCAAATTTTCATGTCCTAGGATAACGTTGCAAAATTTTCATGTCCCAGGATAATGTTGCAAAATCCAATCTGGATTGGTCACCGTGACCAGAAGTTTACTCTTTTGAGCTTTCGGTCTTGTGCTGGAGCCCATCCTCAGAGAACTTCTCTCTACTGGAATATACGTTGGGCTATTCTAAGAGTTGTATTTATGTGGTGTCTTCTTATTGGTTGATTGGTGTGTTGATGGCCGGCGACTGGCTGTTGTTTCCAAGCCAGGGACTTGGAAGCACAAGGAAACAACAACCAATTGCTAGCCATCAACACACCAATTAACCAATAGGAAGACACCACATAAATACAACTCATGGAATAGCCCAAAGCACATATTCCAATTGAGAGAAGTTCCCTGAGGATGGGCTCCAGCATGAGTCTGAAAGCTCAGAAGAGCTTTCATGGTCCTGGTGACCAACCCAGATTGGATTTTGGAGTAACTTCTTTTCTATCTGGATAAATGTTCTTTAGCCTAGGAGGGTTGAAAAGTGTGGGGATGAAATTAAGGTAAGAGAAATTCCAGGAAAGTTGTGATAGATGAGTAGGTGAACCAGTCACTGGCATGATAAATTTGGGGATTGCAACCTATCTTCCAGCCTCTTGGTATTCAAGATCAGGTCATCAAATTCTTGATGGATTAGGGTTCCAGCTGCTGTAACTGAACACCAGACCAATATGTAATAAAACTACCCTCATCCAGAACTGACTATAAGTGAGGCAGCCCACTTACAGTGTGTAGTTAGATTTGGGTGGCCCCAGAGAGAGGAGGTCCTTTCCAGTGGTGGGTTCCAACCGGTGTTACCACCGGTTCTCTTTGCGCACTCACTTTGCTCACTCGCGCACCAAACTTGTGCTCTGCGCAAGTGCATTAGGTTTCTGCCCAGCTGAGGTGTGGCAATCCACTCGGCCACGCCTATCAGCTGGGCTAAAAAACAAGAAATAAAGATAGGGGGCAGGCGGGAGGGCCCAGCTCCCAGTCAAAGAGAACTGGTTCGGTAACGTCACATCGTCACCACTACCAGCTCGGCCGAACCGGGCCGAACCAGGAGCAACCCACCACTGGTCCTTTCCCATAGATATGCCACCTGCTGTCAGGGTTCCAAGTAATACCTCCAACCAATGAAGACTCCAAGGCCAACAGCTCCTCAAAGTTCCATTTTATTAGAGATGTCATATTGGCACATGTGGGAAAACCCGAATCTGAAAGCTCCGAGTTTTTTCCACCCAAAGGAAAGTCAAAGTCCCTTCCCCTGCACCCACATGTCCATCACATGGTCCAATCAATCCACCAGCAACTGGGGATGCCACTCCAGGTGCATGCTGAATGTCCTTAACTCTCAGAGAAAAGAATGTTGCTATGGCTAAATACTTCTACCAACTCCATGCTAACTCCCCTCCCAGTTTCCCACAGACTAAGTGTGGCAGCCCTGAAGATCCAAAAGAAAAGATGACCTCCAGGGCCGACACCTGCATTTTCAGCTATGAAGCCAGGATGGAGATGGTGGTGATGACAGGTGTCATCCATAAAACCTTAATGGCTCTTTTCTGTGTCCTGGCTTCAGTGTAAAAATAAAACGCTCATGCAGAAGACAGGCAAAGTTCTGGCATGATGCAGGCAACTGGGGGCCAAAACTGCAGAGGTATTGTGCAGGAATTCACACACACACACCCATAGAGTTTACGAACAATTATTTTCCAGCAGGGCTTGTAAAAATGTTAGGAAGTGTTATCTGGAGACATGGCAGAAGACATGAGGCAACAGAGGAAGAGTTGGGGAAGCAAGAGAAAGAATAAGTGTATCCGTGATAGCTTACTTGAAGCTAGGGGAGAAGGTGTAATCTGAATAGACAGTTTGTAATGCATTACTTCAGAATATCTTGAAAAGTACAAGGGATAAGTCAGAGGCTTGGCCAGGAACACCAAGGTCAAAATAAATAGAAATCAAGATCAGGAATTCACAAATGAAGATGTCGAAGTTGCTTCCAGTAAGAGAAGGAGTTCCTGCATAGATTAATTCTTCTCCCCACCAAGTATACTCAGCCGAAACATTTCCTGCTCAGCGGTTGCCAATAATGAAGCATGGGGCTTGCTTGCAGGATCAGCATCTTTCTGCTTGCTCGCAAGGTGCTTACTTTGCCAAAGTGCAGGATTCTCAAGCCTGTGAAGTTTGTACTGCTTCTTGGCACCTGTGTTAGCTAAAGAAGGAACAGTGTTGTCTGAGGAGAGGATATCAGTGTTGGATTTAGTGGCTTATTGAATCATTAGGCTCAGCGCCCACTGGGACCTGATCTGCCTGCATCTTAGCATTTGGGTTTCAGGCGATGACATTTTCAGAGTTTTTGCTCTGCAGATAATCAAGTAGGAGTCCTTCTGGTTCAAGGACCCTCTTGCTTCCAGGTGTTGTGGATGCTCCATCACTGGAGGTTTTTAAGAAGAGATTAGACCAGGGGTGGGCAACTGTGGCCCTTTTACAACCTGTGGACTTCAACTCTCAGAATTCCTGAGCCAGCTTGGTTGTCTCAGGAATTCTGGGAGTTGAAGTCCACAGGTTGTAAAAGGGCTACAGTTGCCCACCCCTGGATTAGACAACCATTTACTTGAAATGGTATAGGGTTTTCTGTTGGACTAGAAGACCTCCAATGTCCCTTCCAACTCTGTTGTTCTCTTATTCTGTTCTGTTAGTTAAGGTGAACTCTCAGGAGCAGTTACTGCTCTATTAGCCTTCCTGCTGCACAAGGATATCTTCCTTGAACTGCTAGATTCTGTTGCAGGATTGGCAGTGGACTCATTGGGAGCCTGACACATACCAGGGTTACCAATTAGATTTTTTTTTTTTTTTTTGGTCATAGATTAGCTGCAACCTGATCTGAAAGTGGAGGATAATATACAGGCTGTCCTCAACCTATGACCACAGTTGAGCCCAAAATTTCTGTGGTTAAGTGAGACATTTGTTAAGTGAGTTTTGCCCTATTTTACAACCTTTTTGCCACAATTAAGTGAATCAATGCAGTTGTTAAGTTAGTGACATGGTTGTTAAGTGAATCTGGCTTCCCCATTGACTTTGCTTGTCAGAATGTTGCAATGGGGATCATATAACCCTGGGACACTGCAACCATCATAAATATGAGCCAGTGGCCAAGCATCTGAATTTTTATCATATGACTATGGGGATGCTTGCTGCAACAGTCATAAGTGTGAAAAACAGTCATAAGTCACTTTTCCATTGTAAGTTCAAATGGTCACTAAATGAACTGTAAATTGGGGACTACCTGTAATCAGTCCTTTGCCATGTCAGATCATTTTCTGGTCACCTTTTGGCTTCCCAGTGTAAGAAAGTGGGACCTATTTAATCAACCCACTCCAGGCAATTAATGGACCCTGCAAGATTCCAGAAGGACTTTAGATTGTTTTTCAAGAATTCGATGGCACTCTGGAATGAGCCTATGATGAGGACCTGTATTGGATTTTTCCAAATATTCTCTCATTGTCCTAGGTGCTCCTTGGTTTTCTGAGTAACTTGTTCATCAAAGATGAAGATTCAAGCAACCATAAATAAGAGCCCATATTAGGCATTTTATTGTGGTGATAAAAGCTGCAAAGCCTGGCTCTTTCTGCTGTTTCTGCATCTTTCCTAGTTCCTCGTAATCTCTCAGCAGATTTTAATATCGTGGTATCCTTCTCTGTTGCCTAAGGGAATTAGCAATGAGAGTACAGTGTTGCAGTGCTGGGTTTACTGTATTCACTGACTTCAGTGGTTGGGAGAAGAATTTGACCCAGAGACATCTGACATGTGTCTCTGGGCTCACTGCTCTTGCCCCTCAATATCTACATGACTCTGATGTTTAAAGTCATCTGTTAGTTGAAGTCAGGTATTATCAGTTGCTGATGACCCCAGTTGTTCAATCTTGACCCTGGACAAATTAAATGTATAGATAATAACTAGCACCATAAATCATACCTGGAAACAGATTTGCAACCAGTGCAGCTCACAGAGCAATGGTTATCAACAAAAGCATACTAAAGCAAGCCCATCACAGTTTACTCCACTGCATTCTGGCCATCTGAAGCTTCTGAATGGTCTTCAAGGGCAACCTCATATAGAGCGTATTGCAGTAGTCAAGCCTTGAGGTATCTAGGGCATGAATGGCCATTTGAAAACCACTCCTCCCAATCTAGGAAAGGGTACCATTAATGCATCTGAGGTAGCTGAACAAAGGTTCACTTAGTCACAGCTGCCACCTGCTCTTTGAACAGGAGCTGTGAATTCAAGAGGACTCTCAGATTACATGCCCCATTCTAGCTCTGGTATGGAAAGTAATCAGATGCAGGGTATTTTAATAGCCACAACTACTCAATTTTAATAGGACTGAGTTGGAGTTGGTTCTCCCCATCTAAGCCTTTTGTACAACTTCATGTTGTGTGCTAGTTGTGCCTCTTCCTGAATTGGAAGCTTCTCCTCATAGTCATTCATGTCCTGGCCAACTTCCAGGTGGATTATTGTAGCCTGCTGTATATAAGGTTGCCCTTGAAAAGTATATCTGAAAGCTTTAGCTGATACAAAATGCAGCAGCATGGGCAATTATGTGTGCCCCTAGAATGGCATGCATTAGTTGCCATATACTATATGGCTTGGGAGCTGAGTTTCTTCAAAATTGCCTATCTCAGGTAAAATCTGTGTGCTTGATATGCAAAGCAGATGGTAAAGCAATGGAATAAACAAACAAACAAATAAGGAATGTTTGCTGAGGTCCTCATCTACTGGGATTAGCAGGAAACAGGACAAAAGCTGCCATTTTCTATGAAGCTTTCGCTGTTATAGAACAGCTTGCCCCTTGAGACAAGAGGAGGTCTTCCTTCATGCTCTTCCACAAACTTATTAAAACTTGAATGCTCTACATGTACTTTTTTGCAAACCAACAGTCTTATTGTTTCTAAGTAACTTTACAGTTAAATAATAATCACTTAAATAATAATATGGAGAGTTTTTTCTTCTAAAACATTTTAATGTTACATTTTTGGCTTTCTTCTTTTGGCAGGTAATGTAGCTTCACTTACAGCCTTAAATCTCAGGCAATGTCCTCTAGAATTTCCCCCTCTTGAAGTGATACAAAAGGGTCTGTCATTCATTTTATGCTTCCTCCGAAAGAACTGTCATCAAAATATTGAATATGCAGAGTCTATTTCTCCAGGTATAGTAATATTTTAATACATGTTTTTGAAATAACTGTATTGACCTAATTAAGTAACTAAAATGGATATGAATTTTAAGCAATTAAGATATCAAATGACCTGAAAATATCTGTGGGACTGTCTTTCCCATTGTTTCTGCTGAACCCACCAAATCTTGCAGTGAAGGCATGTGTTGAGATTTTGTGATCAAACAGTGTGATCCCTTTGGACCTAGAAGTTGTGCTTTCTCTGTGGGTGCACTTTTTTCTGTGTACCTCTGGAAATCCAGATGGGCCAACCTGGGTAACCTTTTACAAGGCTTTAAAGATGTGCCTGCGTTTCTTGATATTTGGACCAGGAAATTAGTTGACATTTGCTGTTGAATTGGTTTTTGTGATTTAGAATTTAATGTTTTAACTTTGGGCATCATGAGTTGTAGGTCATAATTTTTATTTTAATCCACTGTCCAGAGTTTCTGTTATGAAATGGGTGGTCATATAAATCATGTAAATAAATAAATAAATGAAATTATTTAAGGCACAAAATGTTAATATACCTATTTTTATTGAAGAAGTTAAACGAGTCAGTTTAATAATACATTTGATGGGGAGGGAAGGAGAGAGAGGAGATAGGTCTGATTATATTGGTTTTGTTATTTCTGTGTTTTGTTATAGTTTTGTGTTATAGTTCACTGAGATGTATTCTCTTTAAAAAGCATAAGAACCATGTGCATGTGTATAGAACTTTCCAGTTGTCTTTGAGAATCAGTGAGCTATAGAATATATAAGGCTTTTCTGTGGTATATAGTGGTTTCGGTGATCCCAGATAATAAATCTAACATATTCTGCATTGTGGTTCGTATTTTACCTATTGTGTTTGAGCTCCTAATAAAGGCTCCATGCAACTGCTCTTGGAGTATTAATGAATGAAATGATTAAACACAGCCATTTTATTGGCTGTGTTTAATCAGTTAAGTCAATTCTTTATTGACTTAAACTATTGTTCATGATTGATTGATTGATTGAATGATTAATTGGTTAGGTGCCATCAAGTCAGTATCAACTCTTAATATCAACCTTCCAGATAAGCTCAGACAAGAAAAATACAATAAAGTTAATTCTGCTTTACTGTAAAGCTACAATTACAGAATCCTGCAAGTTTGAAAGTATACCTTATTTTTCAGAGTATAAGACACACTTTCCCCCCCTAAAAGAGGGTGAAAATTTGGGTGCATCTTATACACCGAATGTAGCCCCTCCCACCCGCCGGCCCCCACCTTTCGGCTTCTGCGTATCCTCTCAAACAGAGCTTTTGGAAACTGCAAACACTGCCATTTGCAAAGGAGCTTCTCTTTGCAAAGGCAGTCTCTCAAACGGAGAACCTCTCAAGCAGCCTCCAAAAGCTCCATTTGCAAAGGAGCTTCTCTTTGCAAAGACACATGCGCGCTCACAACCAGCAAACCTGTTGCTAAAGTTCACCTCTGGGAACAGCTGATTGGGGGTATTCCAGGAGGTGATCCACCCGCCAATCAGCTGCTCGTGCTGAATCAGACTAATGTGCTGAAGCTGACCAGGCTGTTTGCTAAAGACGCTAGCCAGATGAATACCGATGGATGCTGGTAGGCAGAGGCAGAATTTTTTTTTCTTATTTTCATTCCCCAAAAATCAGGTGCAACTTATACTCCAAAAAATACGGTAATTCTTCTGTTATATTTTGGGTGGATTTATTTGATGATTCTTTTTTTTTTTTTCCATTTTCTTGGCTATCTGTGGTATTCTCAAAAGTCTTCTGCAACACCAAAGTTCAAAAGCCTCATTGTCCTTCTATTGTGCTTTTTCAAAGTCCAACACTTTCATAGAATGTTACAGGAAAAACTGTTGCCTGAACAATTCTGATCTCTGTAGGTATAGACACAGCCCAGAATCTGAATATCTTTTCCAAGATCTTCACAGCTGTTCTACCAACTTCTGGTCTGCTATGTATTTCTTGATTGCTGGTTTCTTTTTTTGTTGCTAGTTGATCCTAAAGGCAGAAGGTATCTGTCACTACTCAATATTTTTAATGTTGCATCTTTAATTCTAAGGCTGGTTGCTGAACTTGTTATTAATTTGATTTTTTTTAAATATTTAATCTTAATTTCATTTTTTGAGGTCCTCCTTGATTTTACTACGTCATCTTACAGATCATTTGCATTTTTAGTCATCGGAATAGTGTCTTCAATATAGGTCAGATTACTGATATTTCTTCTTCCAGTTTTAAAGCCGCACTCTTCTTCCAATACAGCTTTGCTCAATATTTATTCCATATATAGGTTGTAAAATAAGGGTGAGTATGTAGCCTTTTCTCATCTCTTTGCCAACCTGGAGCCAGTCTTTTACTGCAGTCCTCTCCATACTGCAATTTCCTGACCTATGTATAGATTTTGTATGAGGACAGTGAAATGTTCTGTGGTTCCTATGTTTCCAAACACATTCCGCTGTTTTATATGATTGAAACAACTGAAGACCTTTCTATAATCAATGAAACGTATACTGACTTTTTTTTTTGGTGATTCTTTGACTTTCTCAATTATTCAGCATAAACTTTATGCTCTTAGCTTTCATTTATTTATTACAGTTATCTTATTAATGAAACTGTAGTTGATCATCTGAAAGAAAGCAATGTATTTTGACATCAAGGAAAAAGAATTATATAGTCCTCAGTACAAAGGAATTGTTTTAATAAAAGTTAATTCAGGGTCAAATATTTAGGGTGTTGTCCATACCCAACACAATCAATGTGCTGTAATCAAGACAATATTGCAATAGCCTGTCCAATATTTAGGCTTAATTTATTTTATTGGTTCATATTTTGGGTTTCACATTTAAACCATTTGAATTCTTGGTTAAACTCTCAATGAATGACTAGTGGATTCGTTTTTTTATTACATGAGAAAAAAAGTCAAGTGAATCTATCATGAAAATAGTGTAATAATTTGATTTTTGGAAGTAGATAAAAGCAAAACAGTCGATGCATTCAGAGAGAAAAATACTACCTAACCCCTCCAATCCATAACTTTCTGAAGCAAGTGTGGATGAGAAGAATAACTGTAATCTATCACAAGATCTTTAAAGATCTGCGTTTATATGTATTTGGATAAATAGGTATAGTAAATCTTTTTGAATGTAACATTTGTAGAGCATCTACATTCTGTTGCCTAGTATTTTATGTACCAAATTTGCATGTAGAGGACTATTAGAATTGGAGCATTTGCTTGGAACTGCCAATCAAGCAGTGGCAGCAGGCAACTTCTCCCTTATAATATTCCTCTATACAGTATTTGGAGAATGACTGCAACTACAGCTTCTATGCTGCTTGGTAACTATCCCCAAAATTTTAGAACTCTAAATATCCAGGGCTTTGAAATCTTAGGGTAAGTATTTAAAAAACAAAGTAACTTTTCATCTGTACACAGTTGCCCTCTACATGTAAAAGACAGCAAGAATGTCATGGAATGAATTTAGTAAGCACATTCCATTATCTTTCCATGTATAGCTTAATTAGAGAGAACAGTATACAAAGGACTTACTCCAGCACAACCATAAAGGACACAAAAATATGTATCCTGTAATACTGTGCCATATCCACCATTTTTAATATGGACCATTATACTCTGATTTCTTATTATTTATTTTTTTGCATTGGACATCATGACGACTGATTATTTTCTATACTCATCCCATGCTTCTGAGTGGTTGAGATAGTTGTTACAGTTGAGATAGAGAATATATATACTGCTCAAAAAAATAAAGGGAACACAAGCAGAAGACATCTGAGATCTGAATGAATGAAATAGCCTTATTAAATACTTTGTTCTTTACATACAGTAGTTTATACGCTGCTCAAACAACTAAAGGGAATACAAAACTACTGTGTGTAATGAACAAAGTATTTAATAAGGCTATTTCATTCATTCAGATCTCGGATGTCTTCTGCTTGTGTTCCCTTTATTTTTTTGAGCAGTGTACTTCTGCTATTCATGAAATTCATACAGATTTTTACAAATAATGTAATGTTTCTATATCTTTTGAAGTTTATATGGAAAAGAAATAAACGGGTCTTTATGCTATAGCGATCTTACTTTAGAGCATCAGTAATTCTATTCTTTAAAAAATTATAGATGTGTTCTAAATAAACAACTGCATAATAAACATACTGTCCTTTAAAAAAAAAGCATGTACTGGTATTTTGCACAACTTCCTTTCTACATGCCTCTACGGTATTTTATTCATCTTCAAAGGAGGATATTCATAATTTTTTTTGTAGCAAATCATCATGTGTCAGCGTAGTTGTAACATGTGCACATACCTTGAAATTCTGTATTTCACAGACTTGCCTTCTCCGCTAGAACAAGAAGCAAAGGCCATTGTTAGAGAATACAAGAAAAAATGTGACAGACCACCTGATCGTAGGAAAGCTTTCAACGCTTTGTGGAAACAGATAAGCCTCTTTAGTGAGTTTAGTAGAACACTAGCATTGGAAGGCAATATCCTTTTGATATTAGTCCTGTGAATATACTATATTTCTGAATCTAGATCATATAAGGGTTTAGTTCAAATATTCTACTCAAAACTATGATTTAGACTAGATGGCTGTATCACAAGCTCATTTTTTTCAAGCTCCAATTCCCTCCTAAATTTGAAACAGTAAAATTTTCCACTGCCTCTAAGTAGAGAAATTTATAGTAAATTGTTATCCAAAAACCAGAATTTAAAATTAAGCTAATTGTATGGTTAATGAAAGTTTGGCCCATTTGGGACTAGAAAATTAGTAATGAAATTGGAATATGAAGAAGGATAAAGGCCCTATCAATTGACAGCATTGATAGCTAACAATCATAATAGCAATGCACCAGTTTGGTCTAGAGCGGGTGTCAGCAACCTGTGGCTCCGGAGCCACATGCAGCTCTTTGGGCCCTCTGCTGTGGCTCTCTGTTGGGTGATCCCACCACTGGCTGGCCCCACCCCTTGCCGTCCCCTCCCAGTCACTCCTCACCTGGCCTGAGAAGGTAATGGTTATGGCGGGGGATGGAGAAGCAGCTGGGGCAGAGTTAGAGAGATTCAGAGAGAGGGGGAGAAAGAGGGGGGAGAGCAGGGGGAGGGAGGGAGGGAGGGAGGGAGAGAGAGATGTCAAAAGGGTTTTGTGGTTCCTGGTGTTTTTTAACAACCAGTTCTCTGCCCTAATGACCAGCTGGGTAGGTATGGTTAGGGGGTCATGTGACTGGTGGAAATGAATGACGTCAAGTTGGCCACGCCCACTCAGGTTTTGTGGCTCACTGTGGCTCACTTCTTTTCTGTGGGAAACGGGTCCAAATGGCTCTTTGAGTGTTTAAGGTTGCAGACCCCTGGTCTAGAGGTTAAGGCATCAGGCTAGAAATCAGGAAACTCTGAGTCCCAGTCCTACTTTAGGCATGAAAGCTAGCTGGGTAACTTTGGGCCAATCACCATCTCTCAGCCCAACTTACCTCACAGGGTTATTGTCAGGAAAATTGGGAAGGAGGAAATATTAGTATATTTATTGCCTAAATCAGTTCTCACACACACATACATAGCAGATCCAACAATAAAATTACAGATTAGCCCTTGATGACTATTCAGGTTCATTTTGTGCAGTTAAAAAGCCATTTGCTGGATATTATCCCCAAATGTCTTGTCTTACCCTAAAGAAACAAATAATTTCTTGAAGAAATCACAGTATATCTGTAAATCAAATTATATTAAATTTCTAGAGAAATAGTATGTGTAGCACAAAAATATTTTGTATATTGTAGTATTTCTAGTTTGATGGTGTCCTCTGATTTTAACTAGCTTTATTTCAAATATTCTTTCATTACAGTAGTTCCTTCTTTTATATATATATATTTTCCTACAACCCTGGATGCTGTGTATTTTGTTGGAATAACAATCTTCTTTTATCCTATTAAAAAGAACTAAAATCCCTGGAAGCTAAAATACTGAAGTTCCTTCCCAAGAGGTAAAAACAGTACTGAATCTCTGTTATTGGATCAGAACTAATAATTTAATCCCTGTGGTTTCAAATATTTTCAGATCCCTAAAAATTCAATTTTCACAAATAACATAATTATTTTTTAATTTTGTGATTTATAGATTTAATTCGGTTTAAACCCAGAAGCGCTCGAAGAATCAGTAGTGTGTCCAGTAAAGGTAGCACTTAAGAAAATATCTTATTTTTAATTAAGTTTAAATAGTGTTCAGCTTATTAAGACGTACATAATTGATATTTGTAATTCTTTTTCCAAGTCAAAAGCACATAATACCTGTTTAAAGATTGTTTCTTTAAAAAAAAGGTTCAATGTGAAATTGCCATCTTTTGTCTGTCATATTGCCTGTTATAGAAACAACAACAACAACAAAATTTAGCAGAAAACATAAAGATCATTTTGGCTTACTTTGTTGTGTTTCATACAGCATACTTTTAAAACAGTTTATGCCAGGTTGCAATATCAAATATGGTTTAGCAGTAGTACTGTGGCAATGTAATACTAATAACTCTGATTAATCTGTTTGCCAATCTAACTATATAGCATTGTCTCTTACAACACTTAAACAAATATGTTTGACATAGGAAAAATTAGAATGGACTGAAATGAATGCTCAAACTAGCATTCTGAACATTCTTTGTTGAATTATTTTTGTTTGCTGTTGATTTGGGTTTCTTTTAAAGAATATATAAAACACACAATTCTAAAGATTTAAGCCATGACTTTAGAACTGAGGAGCAAAAATATTAACATATTCTTATATCTGCTTGTTTGCCACCAAACTAACATTTTTGGAAACTGGAGCTTTGAAAATACCATGAAAATAAGGAAACGTTATTCACTAGTTTTTTTTAAAATGTATCATCTTCAGCTTTTTGTCTATTTTATCTGATAGAGGTTTGTAATATTTATTGCTATCTTAATGTACATTGTCAAATATCAGAATGTAAAGAAATAGTTGGGTGTTATTTACATACTAGAATAGTAATCTTTTTATGATATATAACATTTGTTTTCAAAACTGTTGTATTTCTGAAAATCTTGTATTTGATGGCTTTTGGTATATGATCATAAAACATAAGTACAGCTTTTTATATAAAAATAAATTGTACTGTCAAATACTTGGTAGAATTCTTTGATTGACTAATTGTTTTATTTGATACATACATGATTTGTTTGCTGTGGTATCTTATTTAGCTTTGAATTTAGATCAAGAAAATGGCACAGATACTGGACATCTCTTCCAACATTACTTTTCTTAACTTCAAGGCAACCGAGAAAATGGGAAATGCTGATTGCCAACTTTTTCCATAAATTACCTGGACTATTTCAGAAGCCACATTTCCGATACTATCAATCAAAGAACATCATGCAATTTCCCCATCTTTTCCTTCTTAATTTTTTGTAGGAAGGAAAAATCCTGCATGAATAGTGGGAAAATATGGGAGGATTGCTGGGGAGGGGGGAAGGACAATGTAATATTGCATAAATGTAATGGAATTTTATCCAGAAAGAAGATTTGGAAATAAGCTGGGAACGGCTAGTTCAGTGAAGGAGGCTATTAAAGACCAAAGTCACAAACATTATGAAGAATAGGGTGTCAGACTGCGGTGCTATCTCAAAATTAAATGAATTTCCAAACTGCCAATCTTTAAGGAAATCTTTCTTTAATTGAGCTCAGCCACCGGATCATGACTCCGCGCGGACAAGACTGACCTTTTGCCTCCCAATCCCTCCCTTTCCGATCCCAAATCTCTGCTTCTCATTGGCTGTCTTCCAAGTCATTCTTCAGACTTCTTTTCCTCGTCATTTCCCAGGAATGTGCCCCCTCCCTTCATTTCCACGACAACCGGGCTTCAAAGGGATTTAGCAGGCAAAAGTTTCAGAGCTTATCTCTCGCTCTCCTCATCTCTCTCTATGCTAGCGTTGCAACGCTGACATAGGGGCTACGTAAGGTCAAATTCTTATTTTACCTTGTATTCTAGTATATGAACAGATACTCATAAATGAATAAAAATTAGCTACTTGTCAACCCAGGAGACTAATTAGAGGCTAATTAGAGTGAAACCAACACTTTCAAGGATTTCATGTACCATGCATGAGTATTTCCAGTCTTAAGGGCATTTTATAAGCAGGAAAATTTAACTTCAGGCCAAATGTTTTAGGTGATATCTTTAGGCTAATAGCATTCACTATTTCAGCTGAGTATGTTGACCTTTTATTTGATGCACATTTTCTCAGGCTTTTGTTTTTCATTCTGTTAATTGTTCACAGCCGTTTCTTACATTTATACATGCCATTCCAGCAATTTCCATTAGACACAACAGGGGCATAATTATGCATGTAAAATTAAGGATATGGCAATGTCATGAATGGTCTCAGGCTAGAAACTGGGATTCTGTGAGTTCTAGTTCCATTTTAGGCACAAAGCCAGCTGAGTGATATTAGGTCAGTGAGTCTCATTGAGCCCTAGGAAGGAAGCAATGGCAAACCATATCTTAAAAAAACCCTTCCCCAAAAACCTGCAGTCACTTGTCCAGGCCGTTGCCAGGAATCAAAAAATGACTCGAAGACACATGCATGTGCGCGCACACGCATACAGTATAGCATTTGCATTTTTAGGGTAAATAAAATAATAAGCTTATTGCTCCACTATTCTAACAGACCTGTCTGCAGACCTTTGTACCAGAAAGTGCAGACCATACCAAATCTTATCTTTAATCACTGCCTTAATAGACTGTGTTCTAGAAAGGCAAAGAAAAGCGCAGTTAGCATATTCTTTAAGATGTATTGTACGACTGCCTCTTTTTTTTTTTCTTTCTAAACCTTTTCTAATGCCAGAAATTGCCAATCAGAGGTATAGGTCTATGATTTCTTATTATATATCCTATAGATATCTCCTAACAGGCTGTTGAGTCCCATTTCAGATTCCTGTTTGGTTTTTTTTCATATCTTCGATATACGCATGTTTATGTATATAAAGTTTATGTATTTAAAGGCTAATATAGCAGAAACATATCTCTTTCGGTCTATTCTCAAGCGACATAGGGAATCTGCTCTGTGTCTTATATGCATCTTGTAGAATCCAAATTGTAGCCCAGTGTTTCTTCATATGGGTTATATGATTTATTAATTAGTACAGTATTTGTTAAGGAAAACATATGTTTTCTCTAGTCAGGCAGGGAGATCCCAAGTCTGTGAAATGAAATGCACATTATTTCATAAAAAGCGCTAATATTATTATCTGAGTCAAGTGGCTAAATGAAGATTTGGAAGAAGCTATGCATCCCTGAAAAGATGAAGCTATTTCATAATTACCAGTTCTGCTTCGATAATTACAAAATATGTTTTATTTTCCATACAAGTATTTCCTTGAATCTGACTGTAAAAAAAAAACAAAAAACCTACAGATAGTGCTCAATTTATGACCACAACTGGAACCAGAATTTCCTTTGCTAAGCAAGGCAGTTAAGTGAGTCACACCCAATTTTATGACCTTTTTTTGCCATGGTTGCTATGCAAATCATTGTAGTTGTTAAGTGAATCACAGGCTTGTTAAGTGAATCCTACTTTCCCCATTGATGTTGCTTCTTAGAGGCCAACTGGGAAACTAGCAAATGACAATTACATTACCCTGGGTCACTGCAACTACCCTAAATACATGGTGTTGAATTTTGATCACTTGACTAGTGAATTGACATTTGTAAGTGCAAGAACCAGTTGTAAGTCACTTTTTTCAATGCTATTGTAACTTCAAACAGTTGCTGTAAACAAATAGACTTATATACTGCTTCACAGTGCTTTACAGCCCTCTCTAAGCAGTTTACAGAGTCAGCATATTTCCCCCAACAATCTTGGTCCTCATTTTATTGACCTCGGAAGGATGGAAGGCTAAGTCTTTCTAGAGCCTACCTGTAATATCATAACCCACTTTGCAGTTGTATCTTATGATTTATGATGAATGTATTTTTATGATGACTATGATTTATCACATAGCTTTTATGTACATTGAGAGCTTATGCACTGAAGACAAATTCCTTGCATGTCCAATCACACTTGGCCAATAAAGAATTCTATTCTATTCTATTCTATTCTATTCTATTCTATTCTATTCTATTCTATTCTATTCTATTCTATTCTATTCTATTCTATTCTATTCTCTAGACCCCCAGACCAGGGTCCCCACCCCCCAGGGGTGAAATCCAGCAGGTTCTGACAGGTTCTGGCGAACCGGTAGCGGAAATTTTTATTAGTTTGGAGAACCACCTCTGGCTGGCCCCAGAATGGGGTGGGAATAGAGATTTTGCAATATCCTTCCCCCAGGAGTGGGATGGGAATGGAGTTTTGCAGTATCCTTCCCCTGCCATGCCCACCAAGCCACACCCACAGAACCGGTAATAAAAAAAATTGAATTTCACTACTGCCCCAGACTACTTACAGCAAGCACATTGCATTCAATTCAGCACTTGCTGGGTGTATGATTTCAATTGAGAACATATTTTACAACATAAACCAAAACTAAGATATGAAATGCCACTCAAAATACAGATTCGATAGAGCTGAGGTTCCCTTGGCTACGTTGTATTGACTTGCAGTGCAACAATTTACATAGGACAGAAATAGTGTATCAACTTGGTTTGTGTATCTGTAAACTCAAGATCATCCAAGGACACGGGAGAGTAACCTAAGCACATTTGGTCAGTTAACCAATAAAGGACAATGGGGATTCAAAATATGCATAGAACTCTGCATCAGTTTTCCAGCTTCAATTAAATACCCAGACTTTAATCTTCAACAAAGTCCTCCACAAAACACACATCATGATTCTTCTACGGGACACCATTTTTTGCCAGTGCCCTACATTAACCAAAGTATGCAACGGATAGAGAAGATTCCACGTTCTAACATTCTTATGGAAACTTCAAAAAAGTGTATTAGGAAATCAGTGATTATCTTTTGCATCAAATCAAATTAGCTGCATAACATATATGTAGTCCTCAACTTAGCAGCAGTTCATTAAGTGACTGTTCAAAGTTACAATGGCCCTGAAAAATGAGACTTATGACCATTTTTCATAATTGCAACCTTTGCAGCATTCCCATGGTATCAAAATTCAGATGCTTGGCAACTGACTCTCATTTATGACGGTTGCAGTGTCTAGGGCAGTGATGGCTAACCTTTTTGTCATCACGTGCCAGGAGTGGGGGGCTGGGGAGGCATGTGTGCACGTGCCCACACCCATAATTTTATGCATCCGGCCCCCACACATGCATGTGTGACCCCCCCTTCCTCCCTCCTGGCACACAATGGCCCGGTAGGCCCGTTTTTCTCTCTCACCTGGTTCCAGAGCCTCTCTAGGAGTCTGGGGAGGGCAAAAACTGCTTCCCCCCCCCAGAGGCCCATTTGCCAACTTCTGGTGGGCCCAGAAGGCCTGAAAATCAACTTGCCAGTACGCGCATGTGCGCCAGAGTTGAGCTCGCGTGCCCACTGATATGGCTACGTGTGCCATAGGTTCGCCATCATGGGTCTAGGGGTCATGTTAGCACCTTTTGCAACCTTCTGACATTCTGGAGCCTGAGTGGCGCAGCAGACTAATGCTACTGTTAAAGGTAGTATTTAGCTTCCAGCTGCCTGCAATTACTGCGAGTTCAATTCTCACCAGGCTCAAGGTTGACTCAGCCTTCCATCCTTTCTAAGGTAGGTAAAATGAGGACCCGGTTTGTGGGGGCAATAAGCTGACTTTGTATAAAATATACAAAAGTATGAAGGCTATTGCTTAATGCCTTGTAAGCCGCCCTGAGTCTCCGGAGAAGGGCGGCATATAAATCAAAATTTTTTTTAAAAAATCAATGGGGAAGCCAGAGTCACTTAACGACTGTGTTACTTACTTAACATCTGCAGTGATTCACTTAACAGCTGTGGCAGGAAAGGTTGTAAAATGAGGCAAAACTCACTTAACAACTGTCTCACTTACCAACAAAAATTTTGGGCTTAGTTGTGGTCGTACATTAAGAACTACCTGCATAAGAAGAATATGCCATAATATGTTTGAACAGAATTTAAGATTTGTTAGATCAGGGGTGTCAAACTGATGCGTCACACACAGACCACGCTCACCCTACTTCTGCGAAGGGGAAAAACATAGCAAAATATCATGTGACAGCAATTAACGCCACGAGTTTGACACCCATGCTTTAGATGTATAATCCTTACTCCAACTATAGTGGAAAATATCATATTTGCTAATAATAGAGTAGTCTTTGAAATCTATCTTAAGGTTAGATAAGATATAGTAGATATGTAGGACCTTCTCCTGGATCCCCAACAGATTCTGAAATCTAAGGAGAGAACAACATTAGAAATCATATCTACCTTATTGGTTGTAATCCAAATTTATAGGATGCAGACCAATAGAGTAGTCGTACTTTTAAGAAGTAGAATAAGAGGTTTTTTTGTTTTTTTTTTTACAATTCCATTATTTTATTAATAGAATTACTGGAAACAAAAAAAGGGCAAATTGGACCATTAGACTTTAAAGTGTGTGTGGGGGGGAGGGGTATATAAACTCTCAGTACTTGGAGGTTAGTATTTTAATGTTCATATTTTGGGAAGCAGTCAAAGATATCATGTTATCCAATCATGATATAAACGAATTGGTCAGGAATGAGGGGTTTGAGGTTTGGTTTCTTTTAGTTTAGTTTTGATTTGTTTAAAAATGCTTAAATATTTTTTCCTATGAAAAGTGAAACATCAAAATCTGACAATTCAGTTTTTTTCACTGGGGTAGTATAGAGATTCTGAGCACATTTGCATCACATGATCACACCCTTGCTGATGTGTAAACCAAAATGATTGAGTCAAGAAAAATGTGTATTTTATTTTCATTCTCTGCACTACTGAACTGAGGGTTTAGTGATGCTTCTGTTTCCTTTTGTTGATGCTTATTGCATTACAATAAGAAAGGGAGAGCTTGTAAACATGTATTTCTAAACAAAAGGAACAAAAAATAACTTTCTTGCTATCCTGTTTCCCCAAAATAAGACATCCCCTGATAATAAGCCCAATTGGGCTTTTGAGCGCATGGCAAGAAGGCCAAACATTTATTTCAGGGTTCAAAAAAAATATAAGACAGGATTTTATTTTCGGGGAAACACGGTATTTTCCCTTCCCAGTTGGTTCCATCTATGAGTGTAAAGCAATCTTTTTTTATTTCACTAGAAATGCCTCCTGTTGAAAAATTAAATTTGGCAGACATCATGAAATCCAGTTTGGATTTGTCAGACGGATGGCCTAATGAGGAGGAGATGATACGATTTAAGAAGCTAAGGGATGAACTTATCCAAGATGAAAGACAAGAGTATCCTGAAGAGAAAATAATAACCAATGAATCTATGCCTACATTAATGAGAACCAGGACAAAGGAAAGCATCTCTCGTAAATCATCTATACTTTCATCAAGGTAATAAAACATATAAGCCAGTTTATGTTTTTATATTTATGGTAACTCACAGTTTGCATTCTAATGTAAATTATATATTACTGTAGTATGTTAAATTCAAAAAATGTGTGATAAATAGTAGAAATCTAGAAAACCCAAAGGGAAATTAGAAGCTTTTCTTTTTAAAGCCACAATAAGAATGGCATTTTAAAATTTCCATAACCAATATGATATTATTGTATCAGTGTAAGGGAAAAAATAATTTAAAAAGGGTAGCAATCTTCCAGGTATCATCATTCCTACTCTGAATCGATTGTTAAAATTATCTGTGGGTGAGCTCTTGCTGCTTTTTCAAAGATTTTTAATATCTTGATGCAACTCTTCTGCCAATGATTCTAATGATAATCCTTATAAATGGCTCCAAAAATAGATGGCCATGCATCTCTATCAACAACTATATGAGTAACAGGAAGTGGTAGGAAATTCTGGGCAGAAACAGTTACAGTGTTCCATGGTCATGTGGCCACAATTTGCAATACTTGCAAGTTTCCAGCAAAAAAAAAAAAAAAAAAAGTATATCCAGGAAAATGGATTCATTTAACAACCACATAGTTTGCTTCAACCATGGTGACTAATTTTATGACCATTGTTAGAACAGCCATAAAATTGAGTCCAATCATGTGCTGCCTTGACTTACAAACACAATGATTTACGATCCCAGTTCCAGGCTCCATTGTAATCATATGTCAAAAATTACCAGCATTTAGGAAGAGCAAAGGGACAATTGACATTGACTGGATAATTTCACATTTGGGGAATCTGTGTACTATACCTTTCTCTATATATGTTAACTCCAAAATAAATAACAGTCATTTTCAGAAACTAATACTTTCCACAATAAATATAACTAATTAGCAGTATATTTTTTAAAGGTAGAGATTAAACCAAAAGAAGATTAAAGAAATGGTCAGTTATCATCTAGATCAGGGGTGTCGGGGCTGGATTTGGCCCGCGGGGTGCTTAGATCTGGCCTGTAGGGCTGCCCTAGAAATAGCAAAGGACTGGCTTGCAGTGCTTCTGCTAGGCTCCGTTTTCACTGGCAGAAGACGGCAGGAGGCTGTCATGGCTGAAAACAGAGCCTGGGAGCCCATTTTCGCTGGCAGAGCCCTTGGGCCACCACAGATGCCCCCGACACGAGTGAAGTCAAGCTGGCCATGCCCACCCAAACCCCCGAGGTCAAACACAACCCTGATGCAGTCCTCAATGAAATTGAGTTTGACACCCCTGATCTAGATGGTTCCAGATTAGTATCCCTATCTGTTTTGCAGCAAAACTGATGAAATACATTGGAGTCTAGTCCTTCTTAAAGACTCACAAATGTATTTTCTCATAATAGGCTTTAGTGCACCATGAACTATAAAAGATTACATTATAATAAATCACATAGTTTTTAAAGTGACATAGAACATGAGAATTGAAATCTAAAGCCAGAAACAAATGAAGCCCATAAGATGTACTTGGACAATTAATTCCTTAAAGCAGTTCCCATTGTAAAGTTTTTCATTTAGATAGCTACCAGTTGCTAATGCTGGTTTTGAAACATGTCCCTGATGGGAATACAAATTTGCAACTATTTTTTCAATAGACACTCATATCATATACATAAAGTATTTTTGAAAATGCTGAATATAGAGTAAGTCCTTGTTTTTGCATTTAAATCTAAACAAATCCTTTAAAATGTTATGAAATCTTATGATTTCAATTACCTCACTCTTTTCGCCAAGCAAATGAGAAATGACATCCACTTGGTTGAAGCATGCAATCTTCTGGTTTTTTTAAAAAAAGCAACAGAGCTAACCTAAAATTGTGATTTTAATGGTTAGAGGCAGATAGAACATAGCAACAGATTTTTCTTCAAAGATTCAGGAGGTGGAGGATTGGATATAATGTTTTGTGTTACAGGATCAGTATATTAAGAAATAGAATACATATTTTTGAATAAATGAGCATATACAATACCTAAGATCTAATATGAAGTAAAGAATTTCCATGTTAAGTTTGAAGATATCAAGAAGAACTCACCAACACCCACTTCCTAATGCCTTCCTGTATTTTCTGCTATCTTCATAAAAATCTAATTCTTCCAATAAAAACATAACAGTTCAATTCTAAATGTTCCAAGAAAGAGATGGTTTGGGATCAAAGTTAGTCATCGTTCAGTTGCTCTGAAGCCGATAAAGAATTTCCCCGTAAAATAATGACTAACTGTAGTTGAATTGAATCTGTATGCTTTCTTAATTCTGTGATTTTCTTCCCCTCAATCTGGATATAGTTTATAGAAAACTAGGCACAAAAACAAATGTTTAAGAGTAAATTATCTAAAGAACAAACAAACAAATCCCAAATTATGCTCAAACCAGTTTTATTGTTTTAATATTTATAATGCATGTACAGTTTATTTCAATTTAACACAGTCATGCTAAGAAACTATGACCTTAAATTTCTGCAAAAAAAATGCAAGGAACAAGTGTAAATTAAATGAGAACAAAACAGAAAAAGGATTATGGGAATGATACAATTCTCAAGTCTGTTTTGTTAAACTGGTGTCTATCTGGAACAGTAGGAATTCTGAAGTAGACTTTGTTTTTTTTAAAAAAATAATAAAATGAAGCCTGAAGATAGTAGATATGATTATAGAGATTTTTTTATTCAACTATTGTGGTGTTCTGCATATCTATGTAATTGACTGAAGTTAACAAGTCTATTTCAAAGGGATAAAAAGAATCTGTTTCCTGCTGCTTCATCATATGATTTCATAATCCAGAGTAAAATGGCAGAGGAGTGCAGATTGGCAGCATTAAAAGAAATGAGGGAAAAACAAGCTTTAATTGAACAGCGGAGAAAGTAAGTGTTATAATTATTTTCAACAAAATAATTAAATAAATTTGCTAAATATGGGTTGCAGAAATCTAAAAGACCACTAGATGGTGGCAGAGTTTTTTTCTATATTACCTTTCTGCCAAATAACAATCATCAGAATTTTTGTAGCCTAAATATGAAAGCCCTAATATAGAAGATGTTACTACTTGACAGAAAAACAATTTGGTTTTTCATTTTAAAAATGAATATATTACTAATTTATCCATCCAGCTTTGATTTGCTTTTGCTACTTTCAGAGTGCAAGATTGATGCCACAGATGCCACAGATCCATGATTTTAAATCAATAAGATTATTTTTACCATGTTTCCCCGAAAATAAGACAGGATCTTACTTTCTTTTGACCCCCGAAATATAGCCTTGGCCTTATTATTGGGGGTCTTATCCCTAAACCTCAGTCCCAGAGCGCCAACCAGCTGCTTTGCCGGTGCCACTCAAGACGCTGCCTCCAGTAGCAGCTTTTTCGTTACTTCCCATATAAACAGCACGAGGTGAGGAGGCAAGGGGGGGCAAAGGGAGGGAGCATGCCCCACATGCACCTGCCACCCACGTGGAATGGCCTTGCAGAGGCCGCTCCCACAAACCTTAGCTCGCACGCCCCTTCTCTTAGTGGCGGCCACAAAGAGCAGCTGTAAAAAAACTCTCTGTCGACCTGGGACTAGGGGGAGGGGGACTGGTGCTAGAGCTCCGAGCAGTGGCCGGTGCAGACTGTCTGTGCAGCCATGAAGTGGGATAGGTGTGGCTGGTTCTTGCCTGTAGCATTGCCGGTGACGATCAGGTCAGAGCCACTGCCGCCTGAGATCAGCAGACTAGATTCGATGAGCCGGACACACCGCTGCCAGTCAGGAGAAGAAGAGATAGACGAGGCGCTGAGAGAGAGCCCATTTCTGAGGTTCTTCTCCTCCCAAGCAGCAGCAGCAGGTTCAGCTCCCCGAATCTGGTTTACTGATCTTGGCTGGCGAGGGGAGTGGCAGGTGGGGTGGAGTGGCGAAGAAGCGAGACGAATGGAGCGAGACGGGACTCCCCTTGCTGTCTCTTCTCCCCCCCTCTCGCTGGGCATGACAGGAGCTGGAAGTCACGTAAGACACGCAACTCGCTTCTCTGCGCAAGCTAGGGTTTGTGGGAGTAGCCTCTGTGAGGCCATTCTGCGTGGATGGCAGGTACATGTGGGGCGCTTGGGGCATGTTCACCCTCCCTTCCCCCCTGACCTTGCCTCCTCACGTGTTGTTTGTGCGGCAGCTGCGCATGCGTCTAAGTATTTGGGGGGTATTTTTGGGGGGGGGGGCTTATTTTAGCGCATGCGCTCGAAAGCCCAATTGGGCTTGTTATCCAGACATGTCCAAGTTTGGGGGAAACACGGTAGTGTAGGAAAGCAGTAAACAGAAGAAACATTGTTATGCACCTCCTATTTTTCACTGCCATATTCAATCAGTCCTTCATATTGTTACTTTTTCCCCCTATTACTCTAAGCCTGCATTTTCACAGGATGATAACAGGATCGGTGAAAATCTAGCATGTTAAACAAACTTTTGAACCAAGTTTCCAGGTTAAGATCATACTCATTTAAGAAAGGATAGCTGGGGTGTGTAGACAGTAATATTTCTGTACCTATTGTTTCTCACCATAGCCTCTGAGCAATATTTCCACAACCTCAGTCCAGCATCTTTTTCACAGTTGCAGAATTTTAACTAAATTCATCCTGACTTGGAATGTGCAGGAAAATATTAGACTTATATAAACTGACATCTTTGCTTTCTTGTTTCATATTCAGTTTTGAAAGTTTAAACCAGATATATACTTAATTTCACTATTTTATGATTGACAAAAAGCACATGGCTTCTTTGAACAGCCATGAATAAGGGAGATTTAGCCATTTCTGCTGTGTGAAGCTGCTCTTAAATCCATATGTATATGAATGTCCATGTATACACATAGCACATATTATAGGTTATATTTAGCATCTAGAAATAGAACCGTTGTTCTATATTATGACTGTTCATCTTCAAAAATATTATGTACACTTGCTCAAGAATAAAATTCCTGTATGATTTTCAAAGTGTGGTGTTTTTCTGGAAAGTTAATTCCAATATTGACTATGTGGCTTATTGGTGAAATGTTAAATACTTTAAAAATGTTTTTGAAGAGATAAAGAAGTTCTTCAGAAATGGAGAAAACAGGCCAGGAAGATAAGAGAAAAGAAAGGAATATTGTACACATATTCACCCCAAAAAGGAAATACAATGGTATGTATCAGCATATGATTTTGTTCTGCAAAAATATGTTGCTGGTTCTTATAGTGAAATACTGATATTGGGGTTCTCCCTACTCCTGGCCTAAATGATTTGTACTGTATTTCATTGCAGTTATTTCCCCATAGTTGAATTATGTATCTAGGAGAAGACTTCTCTTTGGGTTCACCCAAATTAGAAGGACCTTCATTAATCCTATGACATGTGCCAGACCATTCTGAAACAACTATAGCCTCTTAATTATGCAAATAATCATCGGTTGTAGAATAGATGGTCATATGATTTGGTCTTCACATAGAAAATGGAAAAGATGCATTCTTGATTTTGATGGTTAGATGTGGAGAATATCTGAAAGCACAAAAATTAGGACTTTGGCAAAGTTCTTGGAGATTAAGGCATCTCAGATAATCTAATCATGTCATCAAGGCCATAGCTATCTTTCTGTCCTTAATCTGTTGAGTCATTGCCTCCAGAATGAATTATTTGTATTTCAGTGAAAATATCTGGATCAGTTTAATTTGATAGATCTTGTTAGAGTCTCTTGGGCTGTCTAGTGCCAAAGGTTCAGTTTGGATTAGATCTTGAGATCCATAACCAGAGTTTCCACCCAAGGACACACACACTCAGAGAGAAAGAAGTAGGTGATGGAGGCAGTGGTAAACATCAGCATCTGATAAGGGCAATATGTTAACCCAATATATATTCACAGTTATTATATTATTTGTATTTTAAAAAGGTAGTGATTTTTTCTCAGAAAAATAGAATTTTAAATGAGTTTTACATGTATTAAAACAAGAAAGTGCAAATGTTCAGAATATACATTTAAAATCACAGCTGAAAAAATAATCTTGTTTTTCTGGTTCTAATATAACAGTAATAATAAAATATGGAACAGTAGAACAGATATGGAATGGCCTATAAGAACTACATAGCAGCATAAAATACATTTTCAGATCGTGCCATCTCTTTTTTTCCTATCTGGTAATCATGTCTGTCTCTCCCTCCCTCTCTCCCTCTCTTTCTTTCTCCTATCATCTTTTAGATTTATATGGACACCTAACTCACAAAATGTGACTCAGGTCAGCTTACAACTTTGCCAGTTAGGATACTTACCAGATCGACATGAGGACCATAGCATCCTAAATCTATAACTAAACCACTTGTTTATCTAGCTTAGCCTTCTCCGCCAAGATGGTGTCCTATGTACATCAGCCCCCAGTAAATTAACCTACACAGCAAACTTTTTCTTCAACTTTATTTTAATTTATGACTACCCACCCCCAGAACTTTGGAGGAAGTGTGCAAATGTAAGTAAATACTTAGATCAGCTCTTCACCGTGCAGCAAGAACCCATGTGTGCAGTAGGTGTCAAAACATCCTGCACATAGCTATTCAAAAGCTGTGGCTGCCCAAGCTGTTTGGAGGCGTTGAAACAGAAGGGCTTTAATTTAAAATAGGATTGTTGATAGATGTCTCCTGAGATTTTACTTCTGCCAAATTGAAGTAAATGTAGGCTGGATGTTATAGTTAATCCAGAGAGAAAAATCTGTCATCATGGTCCCAAGATGTTTTGTAAACCTGTAAATAGAGCAAGTCCCTCAGTTCATTTAAAGAAGTAAAGAAGTAAAGTCGTCTTCTACTCCTGGTAATCATGTGGATGGGCCATGAAGTTGTCTTTGACCATAGCAAAATTGAAGTGGAATGCATAGCTACTCTTTTTTTTTTTCAATTTTTCCCTGCTGTCAGTCTTATAGTTCTGTGATTTTCAGGTGGTTATCTATCCAAGTTACAAAGTTCTAGTAGAGGATAATATTTGTAGCTTGGGGTTGAAGTGTGAAATGCTTGATGCTCTCTGAGCTTAGTTGCTTGCTTCCAGATGTTTCATTACCTAACGAGGTAATATCATCAGGGTTACTGACTTTTAGGTTTGCTCCAGGGATGAAATCCAAATTTTTTCCCTACCGGTTCTGCGGCCGTGGCTTGGTGGGCGTGGCAAGGGAAGGATATTGCAAAATCTCCATTCCCACCCCACTCTGGGGCCAGCCAGAGGTGGTATTTGCCAGTTCTCCAAACTACTCAAAATTTCTGCTACCGGTTCTCCAGAACCTGTTAGAACCTGCTGGGTTTCACCCCTTGTTTGCTCCCTGTGGAAGATTAACACTGATGATGTTACCTAGTTGGGTAATGAAATGTCTGCAAGCAAACAACCAAGTTCAGAGAGCACCAAGGACTTTAAAAATAACAATATGGTCTAACTCTGCTTAGCTTTACTAATGTAATTAGGCAATGCCACTTGCTGTAACTCTATTTATTATAATTTAACAAAACAACCAATGAGAAGTCATTGGGACAGGTAAAGCTAGATATATGAATGATGCTTCTAGACTCAAAACAATGGCATGTATCTGGCTTTTGTTTTTATTTGTTTAAAATATTTTAAGGCCATGAGATTGGGCCAAGTGGTTAGATGATCATTTCATTGGTTTTATTATAACTTTTTTTTTTGCAGTATAGTACAGTATTTTTCCCCAAGTAATTGGGCATTCATTATTTAAATGACACTATTTAAGTGAAGTTAAAATGAAAAACTGTGCCAGCTTAGACTATTCTAAAAGATCAGGGCTATTAATCACAATTGTTTGTTTGTGATAGTGCTTTCAGACACTTAACTTGACATCCCTTTCTTAGCTATCCATCAGAACTTGTTTACACTTCATGCTCAACTGTGGCTTCCTTATCCATAACTTGTCAACTAAGCTGCACTTTGATGCACATAGTGCCATAAGTTTTACTGTAAACAATTGTGTTGAACTCATCAAACTTGCTAAGTCTAAACCTAATAAATTGTGTTATGGTTTAGCACAGTGTACAAACCCAATCTAATTAAGGATGTTGATGTGGAGAAGAGTTTATTCTGCTTCCCAGTTCAATGAAAGTCCAATTTTCAGGCTCTCCCTATAGAGACTATAGGGAGAAGAAGGGTGCAATTCAGTTGACCATTCTTCCATTGATTTCTAGAGTCTTGAACTTTGAAGATTCTAAAGCTCAGTGAAAGAATTGTGATACTAAATCCTTATGTCTTTGATCTTCACATTTTAGTTTTAAAAATAAGAGGAACTAACCAATAAATCAAGGAAATGGTTAAAAAGGATTAATAGTTACACCAAATTTAGACTTTTATAATGACATGAGTTTGGATATTTTGTATGTTCTTTAGGATATTTTAAAATTATTTTCTTAGTCTCTCTCTCCTGAATGAAATATGTAGGAAACACAAGAGGGCACTACAACACCATAGTATTCAATTGCAGTGAGGCTTCAGGCTTAAACAATATCAAATTAATAATGCAAATCATAAAGGAACAAATATGACTGTGTTTCGTCTATTTCTGTTCTGTCAGTTAATGAGAGGGTAGTTCTAAACATGATTTGTAGGTAAAATATGGCAAAGTCATGGTATAAGCAAGGCAGAAGAAAATGCTGCTTGGTGTATCATTGTTAAATCTTATTGGATAGGCTGTAAAATGATTGTCTTGATTATATGGGTGACCTGGCTGACTTTGTCTGATTTAAAAAAAACAGGGCTACATAATTTTAGCTAATCTTAGGATGAGAGATCACTAAGAATTCCTAGGCTGTAGTTTGGTAAATTGAAAAAAAATCTCAGAAGAAACAATAGCAAACCACTTCTGCATTGTTAAGAAAACAACATGACCTTGTTCGTGACAACATGAGGAATCAAACTTCTGAAGGAGACTTAACTTTACCCTTGATTGATTGCTGTGTCAAACCACTGAATTCATTTATCTGAATGGCTTGGTTGGAAGATAAATTCAGATATATACACAAAGAGGCATGCATGGGCACAGTGATCGTTTCATGCTTTTTGTCACTGCAAAGCACACTTTAGTATCTTCCGTTAGTAATCCTTAAAGTTTGTGAGAAGAAGCTAAGTTATTATCTATTGGTAGGTCTCTGGATGGTTTGCAGTAAATGAGTTAGCCTTTCTGACTTTCAGTCGCCTTAACAGTGACAATTTAAAAATCTTTTTCCTCAGAGAAAAACATAGAAAATTGAAAACAAGTTATTGAATGACTGGCAAAGACAAGTAACAAATTTTACATGGCCTAATAAAAGATTGAGGATTAAATGTAAGAAACCGCAGATCTCAGAAGACCAAGGCAATCTGGCAGCCCTGAACTTCAAACTGTATTAACCAGGATAGCTGTTTAATTTGGATTACATATTGGATTTTATCACTCTGTGGTTGTGTTACCTTGTTTGAGGGAACAGGACTCCCAGGTGGACAAATTATCTTTAGATTGATACAAAAAGAAATGAACAGTTATAAGATAATTTGTATTATGTACAACAATAAACAATGTATTAAAGTTGGGAATAAATTTAAGAAGCTTTCCAAATTCTTGCCCTATTGTTGTTTTTTTCATGAAGTATGAAGAATTTTGTTCAGTAGATAAACAACATCATATATACATCAAAATGTGATAAGGCAAATATACAAAACCACCTGATCTGTTTCAATATCTTCAAATAACAGTATAGTTTTAAAAGAACTGCAAAAAGAAGAGGGAACAATTAGGGATCTGAATGAATCTGAAAACCTTTTATTTTTTTCAGCATTTGCCAGGTCTTGCTTATAAATCACTGATGAATGTGTAATTTAGAAACTGATACAATAATAAAAACCTTCCCTAATTTTGCAACTTAAAGAGAAATCAAGAGCAGAGGTGGAACATGAGTGAAATTTGGGATTTGCAAATTCAGATTTTCTATTAAATCCTAACCCTAATCCTTAAGACAATAGTATGGACAGTTAATGTGGTGCGTAAGGACAACCCTATTGAAGGCTGGTACATTCCTTACCCCAACCTTCAGTGGTGGGTTTCAAATTTTTTTACTACCAGTTCTGTGAGCATGGCTTGGTGGGCATGGCTTTGTGGGTGTGGCAGGGGAAGGATACTGTAAAATCTCCATTCCCACCCCACCTTAGGGGAAGGATACTGCAAAATCTCCATTTCCTCCCAATCAGCTGGGACTTGGGAGGCAGAGAATAGATGGGGGTGGGGCCAGTCAGAATTTTTACTACCGGTTCTCCAAACTACTCAAAATTTCCATTACCAGTTCTCCAGAACTGGTCAGAACTTGCTGAAACCCACCTCTGCTTTTATTTTAATTCTTTTTTTTTTAAACAAATTTTTATTTTTATTTTTAAACAAACATACATAAAACCATCTTCAATTCACACGCAAACAGTTTGTCAGTTGGTTACAAGTCTTTTGTGCATCATTCACCAAATTCATAGCTTACAATTTACAGTTTACCTAAATTCTCATATCATTGACCTAATAAATATACATATATTATTATCCTCATTAATCATTTATTTGACTATGGCTATTTTTTCCCTCATTATTATTCAAAATATTCTAGGATTTGAGTTAATTTTTATTATAACATTCATTTCATCCTCCTGAATCTATCCAGTAATAATACCTCTTTATGTTATATTTCACATAGTTCTACTATGCTTTTATTTTAATTCTTTTAGTTAAAGAGAAGTAAATCAAATTTCCAAATTTCAACATTATTTTTGTTTCCAGAAATTTATCTGGGCCCCAAATGAGTGTCCTATACTTTCTTAAAAAGATAATAATAATAATAATAATAATAATAATAATAATAATAATAATAATATGGAGGTGTTGTGCATTGAAGGGAAATTCACTTAACCTAATTTTGTGTACTATGTTCTTTAAAAGGGAAGATTAATAAACAAAAAATGTGCTTATATATATCACTTTCAGCCACAAATTTAGGATTTGGTAATTTACCAGCTGCTTGATTTTTAAAATAATTTTGATGAGTTCTAGGTCAAGCATGCCAAATCATGGCCATTTGTGGGAAGAAATGAATCTTATTCAAAGCATTTAGGAGCTGGGATTTTCACATCTCATGGGCTTTACCAGTCTATAGAATAATGACAGTCTTAACTGTGAAGAAACTCTCATTATCTTAATTTGCAGCTGCTTGCTTCAGAGACTTTTACAACATATTCTCTGCAACTCTAAAGATCTGCAGAATGAGAAAAAACATAAAATCTAAAATAAATTCATGCTTTTATTTTTAGTAAGCAAAAAAAAAATCATAGGGAGTTAGCAAGATTTCCTGCTTTCTAGCAAAGCTAAGGCCCACTGCACATCTGATCATTGGAAATACCGGTTTGACTGAACCGATAGGTTTTTTTTTTTTTACTACCGGTTCCCCCAAACCGCTAGTTTTTATCACTACCAGTTTGCCCAAACCAGAGCGAACCGGTAGCATTTCACCCCTGCCCAAATCCTATCTCTTCTCACATAGTCCAGAAGGCATATGAAAAACTGATGTTATCATGTATTTATTCTCTAAAACGTGGCAAAGTTGAACTCACCAAGTTTTGGAACCAAAATAAAAACTGGATTGAAGTACAATTTTACAAATATCAAGTGCCTCTCCAAACTGCTTCAATTTATCTTTTGAGGTTCATCTAAAAGAGACACATGTATTGGCATCAATAGATGTACCAAAGGAAAAAGGTTACATCTTGATAACAAATGGTTCTTAATGCTTGGAACAGTGATGGACACATTGACTAAAGCTTCTTGTTGCCACTAATAAGAATGGGACACCTCTAGCTGAATTGCTATGAGAAGAATTCAGATCATACTTTCTGGAATTACAGTGCAATTTTTACCTGTGCTTGTCTATTATCCGTTATGTAGCATTTATTGAAAGCATGACTAAGCTGTTGTAGAAATGCTTCCAAACAAGCAATTTTTGATGCTACCAATCATAAGACATTGTGAAATCAGCCTGCCTTTTTCTTGCAACTGAATGATTTTCTAGTAGGCAACATTATAAAGGAAACTTTGGGGTTACAAATGGAAGATGGTAACATTTGGACCCCATCTTGCACTGGTTAAATTCCTTGCATGTAGCAGGGCAATTGCACAATAAAAGCCTTGTGTGGAAGCAGCATTCCTAAACAAAAATGTTACTGTTTTGTTCACAGGGAGGAGAGAGGAGTGCCTAAAAAGTTTTTAGATTTGTTTCCAGAAAAGATATAACTCTCCTCTAGCCAAATTTGATTTGTTTTTTTTACTGTTAAAAACTGCCATTACAATTAATAGTGGGGGAAATGCAGATGAACAACTTATTCTCTAAAACGTATGACATTTCCCTGCAAAATCCAGAATGAGAGTCTATTTATTTATTTATAAATAATCATTCACCAACATATTTACAACATCTAATGTGGTTACTGAAGTAATCCATCTTCTGGGTTTGCACAAAATATTTCATCATAAAACTAGTTAAACATACTACCAGAAAAATTAAAAACCCACTAATGTTAAAGTAGCCAAGCTTTGCATGGTGCGTGAATACAGTTGGTAATCCTCAATGTTCAGTTGACTCATTTAAGATTCTTGTATGAATCCGTCCAAAGGCAGAACAGAGACTCACTTGAAGGAAAGCTACAAACTAACAAAATGCCTCCAGTTGGTTCCTGTCCCTATTTCTTTTGCAAAAAGATATCTCATTTGTTTAAGAAGTTGCAGATAGATTGTACAGATTTCCCCAACCAGTCCATCGCATCTTTTTGCCTCCCATCCCTAATAATTGTAGCTCTTTGATTGTGAGGATGCAGAAAGCATATCTGCTTTAAGGATGTCAGCAATTATCCATTGGAATTCGAAACCTCACAGCTTGGTGCAGAAACCCTGTAGAGTTGCATAAATAGATAGCTTCCTTAGATAGTAGATGCTTCCCAGATTGACCATTGGTCTTGGACTCTGAAAGTTTCTGGTCTGTGTTTGAGTTTCTGATTATTCCAAGTTTAACGACTGAATTCAGGGAATATAATAGTTATTGAGCAATCTAGTATTCAATCAGCACCCCAGATAACAGAACAAATTTGAAATATTTATTTAAAAAGGAGATAAAAGGGATGGTGCTGTAGATAATTCTGAAACTCTGTATCAGACATTTCTATACACACCCCACCATCCCTGCACAACTGATTTACTTTTTGAAAATTTTATTGCAGTTAAGCATCCTAAAATCAATATGCATATGGTGAATTATATTCTACCTTGGGTGACATGACCAAAGAAAAGAAGAAAGACAGTTTAGAATGGAGCAATCCACAGCATTCTGAACAACTTTTCATAAGAATGCACTGAAGGGATTTTTTTTTCTTAATGTTTTTGCTTGAAGCTCTCAGCATAACCCAAATCTTATTTGAACAACTGTTTTCTACAATCATAGCAGTGGTGGGTTGCTCCCGGTTCAGCCCGGTTCGGGCAAGCCGGTAGTGGTGATGCTGTGACGTCAGCGAACCGGTTCACTATGACTGTGAGCTGGGCCCTCCTGCCTGCCCCCACGTTATACCTACCTTTATTTGTTGTTTTTTAGTCCAGCTGATAGGCGTGCAGTGTGGATAGCTGTGCCTCATCTGGGCAGAAATCTAATGTGCTTGCGCAGAGTGCAAGTTTGGCATGCATGCGCAAAGAGAACAGGTGGTAACACCGGTATTCCTGTTGCAGGAGACCTTTCCTGTTTTCAGTGTTCTGAGCCCCCTTTATGCAATTTCTTTCCAACATTCCATTGCTTTGGAAAGAATAAAAAAAGATTGACTTTTGATCCTTTTGTCAACCATCTCCAACCTAGTGCCTTCCAGCTGTCTTGGGCTGTAAATTCTGGGAGTTATGATCCAAAACACTGGATCCACAAAAGTTACTTTTATATCTTCATGTTTATTTATGTAACTCACATTGAATATGCTTGAAACTGTCCAAGGTGGGAAATCTGTAATAAACTCCCTGTCCTGATTCTTTGGGATACTCATGCTGTTTCTTCTGCAAAAATACACATAGTCTTGTTTGAGTTATATACCCCCTCAAGCCCTTTCAGATATCTCACACACATATTCATGGGAAGTTTATCCAAGTAATGCATTTCGTATAGGTTACTTATTGTGTAACTATTACTGGGAAGACCTGAGAAGTTTGGAGACCTTGGTGCTTTCTGAGATTGGGTTGTTTTTGGTTTTTTGTTTGCCAGAGTCTGGTCAGGAAACATCTGCCAAGCAAACAACCAAGTTCAGAGAGCACCAAGGGAGCCACAATTCATCCCTGAGCTGCAGACGTTCTTTTCTATTGCTTTATGGAAAAGTATCAGACGATAGTTAGCATGCAGGCAAGATTCGCCTTATTTTAGTTACCGTGAAAAAGACCTTCATTTTCCAGTCTCATTTAAAAGAGTGAAAACACAAAAGCAGATGTGTTTATACTGTTCATTTCAAATGTTTTCTAACAGCCATAAAAAGACTGTTTAACGTTTACCATTTTATTAAAACAGGTAGACCGTGCCAGAATGCTAGGACTGAAAGCATATACAAAGCTGTAAACAAAATCCAAACCTCTTAACTTATTTGCATGAGAAGATTTTCTTGCTGAAATGTTGTCCTACCATTTTTATCCTACAATACTTTTCTCTAAAAATAAACATGAATATTTTGAAGAATCATGATCTGATAAGAGCTGATAAAGGCTGGATTCTACATGGAATGTCATTGACATTATCTTTAAGGCTGTTTTGCAAACAGTGATGTGATTTATTTTACAGCAAATTAGGGAGAGCAAGGACTTTAGAAATTATTTGGAGGTCAATGTCATATCTGAAGTTTCTACTTCGTTATTGTGACATTATATAAACAAATAAATTGGTTAGCTATGTGCCTTGTGAGATTATCCCTTACCCCCAGCTCCTGTACTAAACATTGTGTTACAAAGAATAAGATATAATATGAAAGTAGTATCTTTACCACTAGGCACAGTAAAATAGCTCACCCAAATATAGGGAAATCTGCTTCTTGGATATCTACTATTAAAAAGTAAAAATATAAGATAAAAGCAGGCTGCCCCTCCTCCACACAGGGTCATTCCTCTCCCCAAAATTAAAAACAACAATAAATTACAGAAAATATGTGTGTGCCAATTTGCATATGTGCATGTGAATTTAGAAAAAAAATGAAATAGATATATAATAAATTTTGCAATAAGGAGAAGTGTGTTAATAGATGAAATATATAACTGCTTAGTTTGGATGATCCCTTAGCGGTAGAATAGGCCTGGTTTTCTAAATCGCCTTGCTTTGTATCAACTTTAAAAAGGGTTTTTTTTTATCCAGTGAATTGACATGTTCTTCAGACAGAGTGTGCTTTGAAGTGCAGATCTGTTCTCTGTAAAGATGACCACACTAGGTGGGTTATTGTCTGATTTTAAAAGCAACAACAGGGCTCATCAGATAGACAATGAGATAGAGATTAGCTTCTGGGTTTAGCATCATTAGCCTTCTTCTTTGGATAATCCCTTTCCTTCTAATACTGAGAATTACCCTTAGTTTTTTCTTCATGTAAAAATGACTAGACTTCCTATTAATATATTTTCATAAGAATAGAGTGAATAAAAGGAAATTCTGGGAATGAGGGGTTTTATTTATTTGCTGTTTGTGTTTATAATTACAGGTTATAGAGTTATAGAGTTCTCTTATTTTTGCAAGTAATGGCTTCTAGATAATTTTTTAGTTTAATTATTTTAAGGTTGAACAACCTACTGGGTAAGAGGAGAGGCAAGCAGCTGCCTAGAGTTCCTCTTATTGGTAAAAATGCCTATTATCTTATTGGCTTTCCATAAGCTTTTAAAAATTGAATTGTTTCAGAGGGCCTGAGGAAGATTAAAAATATTATTGTTATTTATATTACTATTATTGATCTTTTATTTCATCTTTGCAATTTTTAACTTTTCATTTTGGGTGTTTTCTTGTATTATTCTTGTAGTTTTATTGTACTATCAGTCTATGAAATCTTTATTGTGATCATAGACCAGCCTAAGAAGAGTAGAGTGTAAACAATTAATAATTTTTAAAATTTAAAAGTGTAAATTACACAAAGATAAAAAACATTTAAAAAACCTAAATTATACATAAAAAATAAAAATCTTAAAAACCTACTAAATGGGATAAAAATATTAAGCAAATATAAAATAACAAGCGTTAATGTATGGCTAACTAAATCTATCATAATACAAAACACACTTAGCTAACAAGTCAAATATTCAGGCTGATTTGAGGCACAGGTCATCGCATCTCATGGATTTTAATTGCTGCTGGCAACACTGTATGTAGAAAGGAAGAAAGTAGTGTCTGCAAGCAGCAGAGTGGTATAAATTTGTCCTATGCATCCTGGGAAAAAATTATGGAATGCTGCATGAATTTGCATGTCATTCTTACCAAAGGCTATGCTAATCTCTGTGCTGCCGAAGCAAGCACTTATTGTATTGTTGATTCCCATACATCTCTGGTTAACAGCCAAGATTCCATGTATAGTGGCAATTTAATAAACAAATAAAATACAATAGGCATTTATAAGTTTCAAACTGATTTTACATTGTGATATCTCATAATTCATGGATGTTATTAGCAATTCAGCCGCCGAAGTGTGGATCATGAGTTGTTTCCCAAGGCAACAGCTTTCAGAGCAAATTCCAGTGGAGCATGCCATCTTTTCACAGCTGCATGCATGGATGTCACTCCGACAAACCATCATACTGCTCTCCATGCATGCTTATTTATGTCATACAGCTGTCAAAGATGCTATGCAATTCAGAAAAATGGGAAATTGGATATAATTAACTTTAGATTTTAGAAAGTAGAGCATTGACGAATGTCATTTCATTAAAACTGACATTCTTCGTAAGAGGATTCAGAATAGACTACTTATCTGGGATAGTCTTCACACAACTTGAGATGGGATCTATTGAGAAAGTTACAGAAATTGTGTTCTGAACTATGTAGAAACTCAAAAGACAGGAACATGAAGCCTGTCACTTCTCACAGCAATGATCCATCCGAGAGATCCAATCCTCTTTAATTTACACAAAATTTGGGATCAACTCAAAAAAATTAGTTTTAATAAAAGATTTTATTAATTGGCATTCTTAACAAATGATTGTTTTTGAAATGTTTTGCTCTACAGTAAAATGTCAAGGACAATGAGTTACCTTGATTCAATGCTCCAAGGAGCTTCTTTCCATTCTTGCATGATTTTAATTTATGTGAGAAATGAAGCAGTGATTGGCATATCCCTGAAGAATATGATTTTTAAACACCATTAATACTGTATACTCCTTCCAAAACGATGAGCATGTCCTTCACTTCTGTCTCCATCTCTCCCACTCTCTCTCTTTTATATCCCATCATGATTAAATAAATCTCAGCAGTTTTCTTCCCATTTAACTGTCATCCAGTGAGTTTCTGAGCCTACCTTTCTATTGTTAAACATAGTATGCTCTTGACTTCTGGCCTTGGCTGGGTTAGAATTATTATCTGTGATAGATCCTGTCTTAGCTGAAATTCTGCCTGGCCTAATAGTTTAAAACCAGAAAAAAAACAGTCTCTGATATGATTTTGAGGACATCTGGTAATAGTTTCTCAGTGCCACAGTTGCTAGCAATGCTAATTTCTGTTATTAGATTTCAGACCTACATTTGTAACAGGCTGAAATTAGGGTTTGTTTTTGGAAAAATATGTGAGTGTTAGATAGGCCACATGTAGAAGATATAGTCACAGACAGAGAAGGATAAAAAAAATGGATGTAATCAGTAAATAACTAACGGTCAAGTATTGTCTGATCAAATGAGAATCTAATGATTCAAGACATGAATGTATTAAAAAAAGGAGCCCAAATGCTCACAACAATATCAACATGTGCTTCTTGAGAAAAATGGCTTATACTGGGAAACATATTGAAAGATGATGAAGATTTTCAGTCATCCAGAGAAAGTTGTCTGGAAGCTGTGTCGTGGCAACAGGTTTTCTTTTCTTGTTGGTTCAAACTAACAAGAAAAGAACTCGAATTGTCATGACTCAACTCCCAGATAGTGAAAGTTTGTTTGTTTGTTTGTTTGTTTGTTTGTTTGTTTATTTATTTATTTATTGGTTCGATGTATATGCCGCCCTTCTCTGGAGACTCAGGGCGGCTTACAATGCGTTAAGCAATAGCCTTCATACTTTTGTATATACCTGCTTAGTAGGGCTTTTTTGGGCCCCCCTAAGCGGTGTTCTTTTTTATACAAAGTCAGCCTATTGCCCCCACAATCCGGGTCCTAATTGTTGTTTTGTACAGACAAATAGTGGAAGTCTTTTAAATCAGAAATACCTGTTTTGGTTTAATTGTGATAGCAGTTCTGGCTCTAGATATGAGAAGGGTGATGCTGTATCCTATAGAAATTAAGCCAGTCATTTCTCAGATTGATTTCCCAGGCTCTCACTGAGAACGGGTTGATGGAAAATAAGTTCCCATTAGCTATGTTTTGTTTTCTTCTCTTTCAAATATAACTGGCCTTTCTAGTAGGGAAAGGCAAACGTGCATAATAGTACCTTTTCTAGACAGCAGAACTAGGTAATTACTTGAAGGTATCCTGCTGCATTTGTACATCTTTTTAGAGATCTGCTGATTGCCTTTAACCTCTAGATGTCTTTTTAAAATGTAGTTTTCCTTCTGTTTATATGAAGAGAAAAAGTAAGTTGTTACGTATATAATGCATTCACCTTTCATGCTCAAGCTGTGATTAGAAAATAGCTACTGTAATATTTGAAAATGTTACATTTGATTAAATGAGTTGTTAAAAAAGGGATTAATACTTGGGAAATTTAAACAACAAATTTTATCGTTTCAGTATGTATTTGATTATATTCTACCTGTCCTCCATAAACTCAAGGTAGCATATGTAGTACCTCTTCTTCCATCCCTGAGTTGAGACAAAGGGAGCTCTCATGACTGTAGCTAGACTTGACTCTTGGCTTCCCAGTGTCTTTCCAATACTTTAACCACTCCTTGCAGGTATATTGCTGTCCTGTGTTAAATCCAGTCAGCACAATGAGTGGATCTTTTTCTCCAAGTTGTTCTAATGACATTATATGTCACATTTTTTTTTTAGATATCACAAAATGCACCTTATGCTACCGATAATATTAAGAGCAATGATAAGCTAGAAGGTTGGAGAGAACCGTCTGACCTGGATGAGCACATAGAAACAGCCCAAAATATAAATTCAATGAAAACCGCTGATACCTTCAGGTAAGAACAAAAGGGACAGCCTCACATCCCCCTAACTGTAACAAAAACATGTTTAAGTAATCAACTTTTATGCCATGTCCTCACGACTTTGCCTTCATCTAGGTCTTCATCTAGGGTGAGTCCATTTAAAGTTGCTTTTGGCTGTTCCAGTTTTAAAGTATTTTTCCCCTCTTATGCCAATACAATTTTTGCTATCCGCACAATCTAATATATTTCATTAAAGATGTAGTTTATGATGTAATCGAGTTGGCATTTGCCAATCTCCTATATATAGTTTTAGGCTGTTGCAAGCACCACACCTCATGGACATTGCAATTGAGGTTCAGGAAAGATAGGAGATCTGGATTACACAGCAGTATCCATATAGTTACTGACCTGAGCTTATCATACTGTTTGTCAAGTTCTGTGTGGGCTCCTTACGTGCATGGATTTACCTCTATTTCAAAACAATAATACCTCTGCACCTGTAACTTGTAAATTGAGCAATCTGACAAGTAGTTAAATCAACTGCTCTGTCATACACCTAAACCTGTACATCTTTCTTGATCTCAAGAAAGCAACTGATCAGCTCCCACAATTTGATTCAAGTTCTGTAGCAGCAGAAATGCCAGTAGCATTTTAAAAGAAAAAGTACTTTGAGCCTGAAGATGTTCATTATACCAATATGTTGCTATCAATATTATATCATGAATGATTGCCCTAAAAGGGCAGTGCAGCTGACTGCTACTTTTATTAAACAAAAGACAAACTATGGATTCAGTTGAGGACTCAATAGTTTCTGGTTGTCAGTTTTTTAAAAAAAGAACTAAAAACTTTGATGCGCTTATTCATCTCAGAAATGAGAGCCTATATAGGCATTTAGAGGCACAGTGGCGCCGTGGTTAGAATGCAGTACTGCAGGCTAACTGCCCACAGACAGGAGTTCAATCCTGACCGGCTTAAGGTTGACTGAGCTTTCCATTCTTCCAAGGTGGATAAAATGAGGACCCAGATTGTTGGGGAAAATATGCTGACTTTGTTAACCACTTAGAGAGGGCTGTAAAGTACTGTGAAGCGATATTTAAGTCTAAATGCTATTGTTATTTAAAGGAGGAGACAAAAGTTCACATGGGTAACACTGGCATAGTTGAATCCAAACACTGTAAACTATAATGACTCAAACATCCAAGGCAAATGGATAGTAAGAATTCTCTCCTTACGAATAAGAAAGAAAAGTTTCAGCTCAGTTCCATTTCTGCTAAGCGTAATATAGAAGACAATGTTCACTACCTTTTAATAGATGTGTGCAGAGAGGCAACCAAACAAATAGGAAATACCTTTCTTCTGGGTGCAGAAACTATTGCAACTCTGTTCCCTCTGTTCTCCAAGGAATATATAATGATTACATTACAGTCATTTGTTTTGCTTCCTCTCCCCTTTCAATTTATTCCACAGGGTAAGTTTGCCAATGAGCGGAAATTTGAGCCAAGATTCCTCTGGTTTAAGTCAAACTACTTTATTGTACTCATTCATTAGTACAGAAACACAGCATGTCAGTTCTGAAAAAAGTAAGATAAGACCCTGTTCTGTAGACACATTTCTGACGACGATCACTGTTTAAAAGTTTAAAAGGGAAAGAGAATGAACGAGTGCATTCATCTTCCATGTTTCTACTTATAAACAAATCAGTATTCTAGTATTTGTGTGTTTGCATTCTGCCTTTCTCCTAAGAACTCAGACCAAATTACATAGCACTCATTCTTCTACACCCAGAATGTCTACACTCATGATTTCATGTATTGTTGATAGGTTGCTGTTCTGGCCTAGGCTTCATGAGACAGTAAAAAGCACACGATTAGTCCCAAAAACCCTCTTTTTATTTCAATAGCTGTGAATTTGTAAAGAGTCCAACAGAAGTCTGACAGAAGTCTCCCAGAGTCCTTCGGGATAAGGCTGATAAGCACCCACCTTTATCTCCCTTGACACACTGCCAAAGGCCTAACTGGCAATTAGCTTTGCAAGGCCACATGGAGCACAGAGTCAAAACGGAACTTCAGAATTTAAATTGACCAGAACAAACAAAGTTGCTTCCTGCAAAGGCTCACATGCCTTTGCTCTTCCTTTATGTCTTATGAGAGGGGCCAATCATCTCTAAGCCCTACTCCTGATATGTCTCTTTTGTCTTAACTGTTCTTGCCTTCTGGCAGCTCTGCACATGTGTGCACTGGGAACAGGCTCTCCCTGTTCCTCTGCCACGCTGAGGTCCGACTCTGGAGGCTCCGGAGGCAGCCAATAACTCCCAGATAGTGTTCTGCCCCAGCTACGGACCCCAAAGAATACAGCACACACAAAGTTTGTACAAAACTTAATTTACTAAAATAACTCAGTCTTTTTCAAAACAAAGGCTGTTAATAAACTTTCTTAACAGCCTACAAGAAACCAAAGATAAAGTAATCACAATTTGGCAGAATTTGGCACAAGGTTGGCAGAAAGCCCAGAAGCAATTTGCAGAGAATCCAGACGTGAAGTAGAGTGAACTAAAGTTGTTCCCTACAAATTGCTTCAGTCGGTGTTCCTCCTTAAATAGGCTAAGGGAGTGGCCAATTAGCCCCAAGCCTTACTCTTGAGGAGACCTCCTCCTGAGGAGCCACTCCTGCCTTTTGGCCACTCTGCGTGCCCGTGCATCAAGAAGAGGCTCCTCCTCTTCGTCTTCTTCACTTAAAGGAGCTTCTGGAGGTTCTGAAGGCCCTGGTTGAATCACTGCCTCTGGCACCACATCTTCTCCAGTCTCCTCATTGTCCGACTTGAGTGACAGCTGCACAGGCTGATGGTGAAACACCATACCAGCCTCCTCGCTGTCAGAGTCAGCTACAATCCGCACAGGCCGCTAATGGGCCACAACATATGGCCCTGGCCCCCTCTCTGCCTCCGATGCAGAATCCTCGTCTGAGCCTTCCTCAGACTCCAGGACTGGCCCAATCTCCTCACTGTCTGACTCCCCAACCTCCTCACTGTCTGACTCTGCTGCCAGCTCCGCAGGCCGCTGGTGGACCACAACAGGTTGCACACCCTTAACACTCAGTCCTTCATCTCAAAAAAATCAGAAGACTGTTTTTTCTGTTTGATTAATCATAGATTGGCCAAACTTTGGCTTACCTTAACAATTGAGTATTTAAACAAGCTAATTCCTTATACCAGCATTTTTCAAGTCCATAGTTAATCTATGGACTTCGAATACCAGAATTCCACAGATTGGAAAATAGCCAAGGTTGAGAAACACTGCCTTATACTATGGTTCAGAATCCATCAATTAATTCATAGTTTGGTTTTTTCCAATTCCTACTTGTAGAAAGATGGGATAGAATTTGAACTAATGATTTCATTAATAAAACACCAAAAGCTGTGGTTAACTGAAAATGGAAGCAAAAGCTTCCCAACTCAATGAAGTTTCACAGGTAGAAAAGCACACAAGCCGAGAACCATTATTTTGATGTTAAAGTTTGTCTTTATATTGGCCATTTATGAAGTAGAGCATCAAAAAGCATTTGAACTTTGCAGAGAAATGTCAGAAACTAGAATTGTGATACCTTAAAGGAAGAACAGAAAAACTATGACTTTTCAGATGCTGCTGAACTACAGTTCCCTACAACTTCAGTCAGCCATACAGGTAGTCTTCGACTTACAACCACAACTGAGCCCAACATTTCTATTGCTAAGTGAGTTATTCATTAAGTGAATTTTGTCCCATTTTACAATCTTTCTTGCCACCGTTGTTTAGTGAACTACTGCAATTGTTAAGTTAGTAACACAGTTATAAAGTGAACCTGGCTTCCCCATTGCTGAGCAGAAGGGGATCCCGGGATGCTGCAACCATCATGAATATGAGTCAGTTGCCAAGCATCTGAATTTTGTTCATGTGACCACAGGGATGCTGCAAATATGAAAAATGGTCATATTTCACTTTTTTTCGGTACTGTTATAACTTTGAATGGTCACTAAATGAACTGTTGTAAGTCAAGGATTACCTGTAATGAAGGTTAATGGAAGTTGTAGTTCAGTAATATCTTCAGGACCATGGGTTCCTATGCCCACTAAGGACTAATATTTATTGGGAATAAGTTTTCATTATCTCATAGTACTTTATCAAATAAATGGTGCTGCATACCTGCAGACATAAATAGAAGAAAATGTAATCAGTGGGGTTTACAGTCCATGACACGCAACAAGTTTCACTCAACATGTAAGGAGCAATGATGTGTTCTCCCTGCTCCTAGTCATGGTGGTGACACAAGTGAACAGATGGTTCAGGTCTCCCTGCAAGAGCCGCGGTGACACAGTAGTTAGAATGCAGTACTGCAGGGACTGCCAGCTGCCTGCAATTTGGCAGATCGAATCTCACCAGGCTCAAGGTTGACTCCATCCTTCTGAGGTCGGTAAAATGAGGAAGCAGATTGTTGGGGGCAATATGTTGACTTTCTAAACCAGTTAGAGAAGGCTGTAAAAGCACTGTGAAGCTGTATTAAGTGCTATTGCAGTGAGAAATCTAGCTCCAATGCATTTGTTTCCACATGAGAAGATAACCTAATAATGGAAGCTCCAGCTCCTTATAAAAATGTGTGTGCACTTGTGTGTCTCTTCAGTGACATCTTCAATGCCTTTGAGAGAGGGGAGACATACACATGTCTTCCAAGTGTTGAAGTGAAACACAGAGATAATACCTGAGAAATACTGCTCTCTGTGGCAATTTTGTGAAAGCTTTAATGTACACAAAATAAAGAGTGATTACCTGTATTTTTTGGAGTATAAGACGCACCGGAGTATAAGACACACCTTAATTTTTGGGGAGGAAGATAGAGGAAAAAAATTCTGCCTACCAGGTATTCAATTCGCTCGCTGGTTTTGAAGTTGGGGTTGATTGGAGCTGTGCTTCTAAAGCACAGCTGATTGTCGGAGGGAGCAGCAATTAGAAAAGCAGGCAAAGCAGGCAAAAGAAGATCGCTTCGCTCACGTTGGGGCTGAAAAACAGCTTCAAAAGCACAGCTGATTCTCGGAGGGAGCTCCAGTGACTAAAGCAGGCAAAGTGTGGAAGGGGTAAGAGAAGGCAGCAGCTGTTCCAGGTAGCCATTTTGGGCACCACTTGGGGTTACATTCAGAGTATAAGACACCCCCAAATTTTCAGCCTCTTTTAGGAGAGAAAAAAGTGTGTCTTATACTCCAAAAAATATAGTATCTTTTCTTGATGTTGTGTATGGCCATTGAGTTTGCATACAGTTAAGCTTTGCTTAGAAATATTATAAGCTGACATTCTTGCAAATTATGGTATATTGTTACTATTGTTTTTCTTTTCTTTTCCTTTTCTTGGGTACTTGTTCATTATACAATCTGTAAAATTATTGTTTAATGTTTAAATATGATCCTGTCACACTAGTCTAATATAACTTTTTCTTCTTCCTGGATTCTGCTCTATAAGTTGCTTTGTGAAAACTTCGTGTTCATAAGTAGGGACTTCAGAAGAAAAACATTTTTAATTGCTTTAAACTTGAAGACAGGAGACAGATGCTTAATCAGCTTAAAGAATTTTTATTAGCTGATAGCAGTTGATAACACAGTGATCAAAGAGAACAAGAAATGTGTTAATATTCTATTGTTCTCCAAAATAATAGCACATGCCTTTTTTGCATACAGTTAGAATAGATATGCTCCTGCATTTTCAGAAGTTTCAGTCTTTGAAATATTTTGCATGTTTTTTTTCAATAATATCTGAATGGAGAAGCATTACTATAAGCCAAACTCTGATTTCTGAAGAAATCTTCAGATCTTATGTTTGTATGCAATGTTTGTTTCTCATTTGAAAATACATGCAAGAAAGAAAAGCATGGAAACATTGCATGCTTCCTAGTGGCAAATAAAATGTGCTGTCTTGAATTGGGCAATAAAAGTGATCCTGTAATTTTATAAACTTAATATAAAGAAAAAGCCCATGTGGAATGTGTCATACAGAGGTTAAAATATTAGATTCGTAATGGAAACATGTTCTTAATCCTGGAAGCTCAGTGGGTGACTTCAGACATCCTAGCTCACAAAGTTATCGTGGAGCAATATTAGAGGATTTTATTTTATGTACACCAGTAGATTTTACATCTAACAAAAATCTTCAAAAGAAAATTAAATAATCTTAGAATCTAATTACTTTAAATATAGGATAGCAAACAGAATAGTACTTGGTGGCTCATCCTGTCCTCATTATCATTATGAGTTTTTAAGTCAAAATCAAAACCAAAGGCTGACAGTACAAGGATGTACAGACAGCTATGATGGCTCTATGCCTAAGTATAGTGATATTTGTTTTGTTCTCAGAAAAATCAGAAAGAGCAGGTGGCTTTAAGATTGCCAAGGACAAGCAAGCCCCAGATGGTACCCATGGCCCTGTTGCCTAATTACCTCTGTACGTCCTCTAGAGATTACATTAAAATGAATTATTGCCACAAGAACTCTGGATACATGAAAAGCCATCCAAGTCATCCTCCCAGCCAGAAAAAGGGTATTGGTGGACACATGCCACATTTGGAAACATTAGCATTTCAAATTATATCATTTTCTTTTTAATTGCTTTAATGTAGAAAAAATCAAGAGAGCAGGTAAACATAGCAAAAAGAAAAATGAAGGGAAGAGAAGATCTGTTTTCTAAGTATTAAATATAGAATTAAACCATAACTTTATGGAATCATATTGGTCAGGATTTCTATTATTTTGACGGCGAACCAGGCCATAAGCAGAGCAAACAAGTATCATCAGTTCAAAACCACATTGTAGCATAATTTTTAAAAAATAGAAAGAAATTCATACTAGCCAAAAGTTGCTGGAAAAGTTGGATCTACTCTTGTTCCATTTTCAGCAAAGCCACTGCTACTGTTAACTGCTCTCCTGGATATTTATCTAAAATATGAATTAATATTCTAATATTAGAAACTCCTTGCCCTTCTATAAAAACAGATGCACAGAATGGATAATCAAAAGTATTACTTTCTATGAGCCAAGGTAGTGGTCAAAATGATGAATAAGGAAATTCTTCTATCCTATTGCATACACCCAGAAATATTTATTCTATCATACTCTGTTTTGAAAACTCATCTCAAAGCCAGCCCTATCATTAAGCTGAATGAGGCAGCTCCCTCAGGCTGCTGATTTGAAGGCTAATAAGAAAAGGCTCCAAATTGAACATTAATTAATGATATTGCAATAGTATTTTTACTGCCAGGGTGGGGCCAAGATATTTAGCAGATTTTCTGCTTCTAGTGCTAAGAAATTTGACCATCTGTAGGTATTATGTACCTCCTCAAGGCTACGACCATAACTTGCCATTTGTCAAATGTTTAGGATCAAACCTGAATGCAGATAGGCTCATCTATATAAATACATGGTGTTTTACAGTGTTTATTGTCCATGTTGTAGGCTGATTTTTATTCTGTTATGAAAGAGGTGTCATTTTTTCAAAGATTAGTTAAGAATCAAGGTCCATTTTTATTTATGTCTTTCCCTGATGGGCCATGGGAAAGGATACCAGGATTGGAATAAAAATATGGAATGAGTAGAAAACTGTATAATTCTGTGTTTACTAAATTCTGAGTTTGTTAAAGTTTATTTCTAATCAAGATTGCACCTTAATTTTTTTGTAGGCTAGGACAAGCAGATTAAAAATTTCAGTTTTATTCAATCCTGTAATTTTAGAAGGTAAATGTATATCCCAAATATTGACACACTCAGAAGCCTTTTCAAGCCTTTTAAAATGTTACTCTTTCAACATTGTTGTTGGAAGAAATGTCCATCTGGGTTCAGTTCCAAGTGGGAGAAAGACACTGGAAACATGGAGGCTGATTTGGAAAGATGGTTTAATGGTGCACAGGACCACATGGTATGAGGTCCTGGGCAATTGAGCACATGGGTGTGAGAGAGAGAAAGATTTATACCCTCTCTTGGGCCCCACCTTTGAGCTTCCAGTTCCTGTGTAAGGGCAGGTATCCTGATTGGTTGTCAGACTCCCATGGGGCCATGCAGGGGTAACTTTGTAGGTTGTCTTGAGTCCCAGGCTTGGTTGAATCTGCTGGGTGATGAGGTAATGAAGCTAATCCTATCATGTCCTGAGGGCCATGTCTTAATCCTATCACCCTGGAGCTGAAGTGGGGGCCAGGGAGCTGCTTTGTCTTTAAAAACATGTTTCTCCTTTTCTCAGCCAGGGAAATACAATATTCTGCCTTTTTAATATTTCCTAGAATATTTCTTTCTTCTAGAAGATGGGTGGGTGCTAACTTTCTTACATTGTCATATGGCTTTTTAATTGCTGTGTATGGGTACTTATTAGATATGTAATTCCTAAGTAGGTCTATAAATGTAAACAGGACAAATTGGAAAAAAAGGTGATTCTGCTTCTTCTTTCAGAACTGCAAAATACAAGGAAGTAGAAAATCGCATTAAACAACACACACAATTAATGAAAGAAAAAAGAAAGAAGTTAAGAGCACTACCCAAAGAAGATATGGAAAAAGCAAATCAAGACCTTGAAACTGTAGGTTTGCATTTAGAAAACAAAGATGTTGACATTGTAGGTTGCATTTATTCCCTTTGAAATATAGGATTGGTTCATATATACCATTCCTAAATGCTGGGATTGAATGTGATTTGTGCTCTTGTTGCTCTCAGCTCCTTGGAGTTTTCCAATCTCCTCTCCTCTTGATCACACATCGTACCATAAACTATGTTGACAGAACTTTGGTTTGCATATGAATCAAGATTCCAAAACAGTCCCTAACTCACTCTAGTAAATGCAATCAATTTGTAAGATGGAAAGATAGGTTGAGCAACGTGAATGAAAAATAGTTGAAATGAGACCCAAAAATTTGATTATGGTGCTTTGCAAATGAATGGATGAAAAAAAACATTTCAAGCAGGATTGTTTTTATAAAATATCAATAGAAATTATGTATACCTATTACATATTATATTATTTTATATTAATCTTATATGTTACAAAACCTACGAATACAAGTAGTCCTCGGCTTATGACCACAATTCAGCCCAGAATTTCCATTGCTAAGTCAGACAGTTGCTAAGTGAGTTTTGCTCCATTTTACAACCTTTCTTGCCACAATTTTGCTGCAGTTGTTAAGTTAGTAACACAGTTGTTAAGTGAATCTGGTTTCCCCTTTGACTGTGCTTGTCAGAAGGTCGTAAAAGATGATCACGTCACTTGGGGACACTGCAACCGTCATAAATACATGTCAGTTGCCAGGCATCCAAATTTTTATTATGTGACTACAGGGATGCTGCAATGGTCATTAGTGTGAAAAATGGTCATAAATCACTTTTTTCAATGCTGTTGTAACTTCAAACGGTCATTAAGTGAATAGTTCTAAGTCGAGGGCTGCCTACATTATGGTTACCTAAAAAAGTAATTTTTAGAACTGACAGTATACTAGAACCAAAAATATAGAGAAACAGGACTAAAAGTAGTGTAAGGCAAGGGTCTCCAACCTTCGCAACTTTAAGCCTGGAGGACTTCAACTCCCAGAATTCCCCAGCCAGCAAAATCCGCCAGGCTTAAAGTTGTCAAGGTCGGAGATCCCTGGTGTAAGGTATTAATCTGATGTGGAGAATAATACAGGCAGTCCTCAACGTATAACCATTTGTTTACTGACCGATGAACTGTTATAATGGCACTGAAAAAAAGTGATGACCAGTCCTCACACTTATGACCTTTGCAGCATCTCCACCGTCATGTGATCAAAATTTGGGTGCTTGTCAACTAAAATATATTCACAACAGTTGCAGTGGTCCCAGGGCCATTCATAGCTTTTCCAGCTGGCTTCCGACAAGCAAAGTCAATTGGCAAAACTGGATTTGCTTAATAATCATATGATCCACTGAACAATTGTGGCCATAAAGGTTGTAAAATCAGGCACAACTCATTTAACAAGTATCTTGCTTAGCAACAGAAATTCTGGTCCATTTGTGGTAGTAAATCGAGGATTACCTGTAGTATGTGAAACTCGATATGGTTCAAAGTATTCAGAGGATTCTATATATAAAACTGAACAAAAATCCATTTTAAAAAGCGCTTTAAGACTTGTTTCAATTCAAGACTTGGAAGATGGCCTTGTGATTTGCTATTGATATGTGGAAAAAGAGAAAGAAGTAAGTTTCTTCTCACTGCACAACTGGTTGATTTAAAAAATGTTCCTCAGTATTAAAAAAGGGTATGGTACAGATAGCGCTCAACTTATGACTGGAATTGAACCTGGAGTTATGTTTGTAATTCATGATGACTACATGACAGTAACTCATTTTATGACCTTTTTTGCAACAGCTGTTAAATGAACGCCAATAGTTTCTAAGTGAACCTGTTTTCCCAAATGGGAATTTTTTGGAGAAAACTGGAAGTAAATGCAAAAACCACTAAAAATCATGGTCACCCGACTGCAGAATGTGGCAATCAGCCATAAACCTAAGCTGGTTGCTAAGCGACCAAAATGCAATGGTGTGACTGCAAGGAGGTGCAGCTGTTATAACTTTGAAAGTAACTCTGGGGTGTCTAAGTGACCAGTCATTAAGAGAGGATTACCCATAGGTGGTTAAGAATGATAATTTCATATAAATATACAGTAGTTCCATTATATAACATAGAATGATTATCACTGATTTAAGTAATTAGTCAACTCAGCCTAGTATTATCAACTGACTACTAACAGTAAGATAGATTTTTTTTCAGCCCTGTCAAGAAATGCCAGAGGTAAAACCAGTTTTGTCACTAAAATATGGCTCTGCAAATTTAAGACTTTACCATATCCTAAAAATATGCTAAAGTTTGATCAAATGCACTTTAATATGGAAATATATCCTGTTGAACCCAGCAAGAGTTTCATTCAAGTAAAATGAAAAGAATTGAGCTATAAAAAAAGTATGATCATAGTTTTTGTTGCTGCAAGAGTTCTTAGATTAAGCACATTTCTCAACAACCGAGTTTATTTATTTATTTATTTATTTATTTATTTAATTAATTAATTAATTAATTAATTTTTATACCGCCCTTCTCCCGAAGGACTCAGGGCGGTGTACAGCCAAAATAAAAACCAACAATATAAAAGTTAAAAAAAATTTAAAATTATTAAATAGTTTGTCCAATCATCTAAAATAAAATAACCCATTCCAATAAAATTTTAGGCCAGCCCTGCTTGATGGAATAATAGCATTTTAAGGGCACGGCGAAAGCTATGGAGGTCGGAAATCCGACGAATCTCCGGGGGCAGCTCGTTCCAGAGGGCAGGTGCCCCCACAGAGAAGGCTCTCCCCCTGGGGGTCGCCAGTCGACACTGTCTAACCAACTGTACCCTGAGGAGACCCTCTCTGTGGGAGCGTACTGGTCGGTGGGTGGCTATCGGAGGCAGAAGGCGGTCTCGTAAATATCCAGGTCCTATGCCATGGAGCGCTTTAAAGGTGGCAACCAACACCTTGAATCGCACCCGGAAGACCACTGGGAGCCAGTGCAGCTCGCACAGGAACAGTGTTACATGGGAGCACCGAGTCGCTCCCATAATCACCCGCGCAGCCGCATTTTGGACCAGCTGGAGCCTCCGGGTGCTCTTCAAGGAGAGCCCCATGTAGAGAGTGTTACAGTAGTCCAGACGGGAAGTGATGAGGGCATGAGTGACTATGCGCAAGGCGTCCCAGTCCAGAAAGGGATGCAACTGGTGGATCAGGCGAACCTGATAAAAAGCCCCCCTGGCCACAGCCATTAGATGGTCTTCTAAAGACAGCTGTGAGTTTAATATTTCCATGGCTGTACTGGTAACTAAGGAAGTTCATAGTCCAATATCTTACTGGAATCTAACCTGTTCTTGCTGCAAGAAACTAACTGCACAATCCCAGATATTAAAATGTCCAGTGGGATTTATTTCTAAGAAAGTTGGCATTGGAATGTATCATAGTAAAGTAACATCCCCATATTTGGCTGTAGCACCCATATTCTGGAATTTGCCCCGATAAATATAAATATCCTATCTTCACTAAAGCTTAAGCCTATGATTAATTTTATTTGCCATGGAATTTTGGAAACCCATGGTGATATAATCAAAGCAATAATGGCCATTATTATATGCAGGGTTGTCCTGCACAATTATCCAGGATAGTAGCCTGCACAAAAGTACTCAGCAATGTCCTGATGGTACTTTGGGCCTCTCTTCTGCCTTGGCAATGAAACAGAATAGGACTTTTGGCCACACTGAGAGTTCAGAGCAGAGAAGAAATGGGCTGGGAAAATCTCCTTTAGTTCCAGTTCTAAGCAGCAAAAGATTCATTGGTCTTCTTCAATCTAACAAGACCAATGAATTGACCCCAAAGGAGCTAGTCTTCATTGCTTCCCACTATCTCTCTCCTGCTTCTCCTGCAATCAACAACAACAACAGAAACGGGGAAGAAGAATTCTTGTCACCTCTTTTCCCCCCTGTCTGCCATTGATGACTTTGAAACAGGAAGAAAATAGGAGGTGAAATAGGCGTCCTCACTCTTTCCTGAGGGACTGCAGGCTTTGCAACCGTCTCTCCTAGCTGCCTTGTGAAGCCAGAGGAAATGTCCCTGTCCTTATACACACTTGGAGGAATCCAGAGAGCAGAGCCTCTTCTGGCAGCTTAAAATATATTGTAGCTTTAAAAAAAATGTATTCCTGAAGTCTGGGACGGGAGGGTCCAAAGATAATTCCACCACCACGTATATGTTTAAAATGCACCTCCAGTATAGATTTCTCATTGTAGCGCTGAAGACAGCTGGGAGGTGCTTGCCCCTGTCCTACAGGGAAGCCTACACAGTACTGCACTTCAAGGTTTTAGGGCTGCAGAGCCAAAGTCATGTCCAGAGGTATACCAGTGCCCGTTCTTCTATCCAATTGAAAAGGAAATCAGTCAGTGGCTAGAGACCCAGAGGATGCAGGAACATCTGAGTTGGCATGCTTGTGCCAACAGAGAAGTGGAAATACATTATAATTAAAGCTGAAGGAGAAATAACAGGTGGAGGCTATCTTTGTGGTGGGTCAGGATGGGTTGGGCACATCATTGTGTATTCATGTTCTCAACAGTTAGTGGTTTTCTTCATGTTGGGGCAAGTAGGAAGTGTGGGGCAGCTCTTAATTTTTGCATTTTATTATTTCATCACCCTAGACTAGAGACACACTGCATTCCACTCCATGAGATCTAGATACACAGGAGTTTAAGTAAGTAGAAGAATAAATATTAGCAACAATACTGAGCAGAATTCATAATTGAAGCTTTCTTGGCCAAAGGCAATTGAGGGTCCATTATTTCACGCTGACATGAGAATGGCAGAGAGCCAGGTTTATCTATCCAAGTTTGCAACTGCGTAGTATTGTTTGAGGCACAACCGAAAATAAGATGGTCATGTTATGTTAATTTGATCATTAGGTGTCGTGTGGGGGTTGTTTATTCATATCTGAATCTTTGCCACCACAGGTTGAGCATTTGGAGGAGGAGCTTGCTGAATTGAAGAAGGACCTTCACAAGGAGTATCGTTTCACCGCTTTTACAGGCGAGCTGCTTCCTACAGCAAATAATCTCCTGCCCACAAATATATTTTCTAAAATGACATTTTAAGTGGATGAAAGACTGTCTCTCAAGCAGCAGCCTCTCACTAGTTGTTTTTCAGGGGAATCGGTTTTTTAAAAAGACTTTATAAAACTATGTATTCCCTCTTTATTGTTGATTATGTTTTTACTTCATAAAGTTAGAATTTAATATATGTCCTAAGGCTTTGGAATACCTTATACCGTAGTAGTTGCAGTGTGGGTTTAAGGACAATGTGGTTGCATTTTGTTTTTGTTTTTTTTCCTATCTTCTCAGAATTCTTTTGTGAAGGTATGTTTCATAATTTAATATGTATTAATGAGTCTTAGCAGAAATAGAAAAGTTTTTAATGTAATTGCCTATTGTGCTAATTCTGGTATAGTAACCTCAGGAATCAAATAACAACCCTTCTTGATGAAGGTTTTTGGGAATGGGAGGTGATCAACTTGGCATTTCATCACTCCTAAACCAATGGATCCCTCCCTCCCCCCCCCCCCAAAAAAAAACTGATTGAGAAGATTTAGAGTGATATTTCGCTCATTAGCATCTGTGTGCCTTAGCTGAGAGGCCTATTTTCCAAGTTAAGATAATGTTTGGCTTCAAAGTTTCTAACCATTTATCAGATTTTATTTTTGTGCCCTCAAAAGTGATAAAACTTGTCTCTGAACTTGGATCCTCAAGGATTCTGTTATTACAGAAATGTCAAGGCTGATAGAAAGCTACACACTGAACTTGAGGAGCTATGGGTAGAAAACAAATCTCCCTGAAGCAATTATTCATCAAATGCATTTTATCATATTAAGCAAATAACTTTAACTGAGAACCATTGCTAGTGTCTCCATGTGTGATGTTTGGAATCATTTAAGGAATGCAGATACTTTACTTAAATACCAAGAAATCAGTAGCAAAGTGGTCAAGAGTAAAGAGACTGCTCTGATCTTTATGTATTTCTTTAATTGATTTATGTAACCACCCACTCATCATATAACTCAGCCTCCTTAGATTTAAACAATCTGTTAAAGACAGGATATGACTGTACCAGCTGTATTTCTCTTGATACAATAAACAGCTGATGTTTCTTCTCTGTTTCCGAGTCCTGTCTCTGATTAGTGTTTGGCTTGGGGCAAAATAACATTTTCAGATGAAGTGCACTTTCTAGCAGGCTTGCATTATGGTGATACTAATACTAGCCATCTGTGGTTGTATTCTATCCACATAATGAAAAGGAGAGATGATAACGCTGAACTTCCAGGGGGAAGAACTTTTTTTAATGTTCAGAATAGCTGGAAGTAGCAGGAACAGGAATTACGCTTTATTCATAACTCCAGAAAAATGTATGATTAGCACTGACTAGCCATCTTCAAAATGAAACTAACATGGCTTGTTCAGTTTCACTGCTTTATTGCAAAGCCTTCCTGGACTGTCCTTGTTCCACACTCAAGTTTGTGAATGTTTGTACTTAAATGGTGCAGATGGAATATTCTGTATTACATTGCTTGCTTTCTTCTCTCTCCATGGATTTTTTTTCTGATGAGATAGGGAAATTCCCCAAATAATTACCTAGGTCATAGGAATTGTTCCAAAATGAGCAAAATTTCTTTCCATATCAATATGGTGCTCTTCAGATATATTACATTACCAGTCATTAATTTCTTGACCATGGGGCTTAGACTTGAGGTGAGAGGCAGTCCAATATATCTGAAAGACGTACAATTGCTACATTTCAACAGAGGTCCCTTTGCAGAATTTTTTTCCCTTCCACTACAACTTTGCTACGATTACAACATTTTCATATAGCCCATTCAAGTGAATCTGTAATGATTTGTTTTAAATGATTTTTTGGTAGCCTCTGTCTATTATTTGTCATATTTTTTGCTCTTTTAGATCTTTTCACATATGGAACTACCAAATTTTGTGATCTCACGTTTATTTAGAAGTGTTCTGGCCTACGCTTCCTGAGTCACTAAAACACGAGTATTCCCAAAAACCTCTTTTATTGCAACAGCTGTGAATTCTGTTCATTCACAGATAAGTCCCAAATAGTTGTAAAGAGTCCTTTGGGATAAGGCTGATAATCACCCACTTTTATCTCCCTTGACACGCTGCCAAAGACCTAACTGGCAAAACCACACGGAGTCCAGAATCAAACAGAGCTTCAGACTTTAAACTGAACAGAATTAACAACATTGCTTCCTGAAAAGGCCCATGTGCCTTTGCTCCTCTTTTAAATCTTATGGGAAGGGCCAATCATCTCCAAGCCCTACTCCCGAGTTGTCTCTTTTGTTTTAACTGTTCTTCCCTTCTGGAAGCTCTGCGCATGCGCTCACTGGGAACAGGCTCCCTCTGTTCCTCTGCCTCACTGAAGTCCAACTCTGGAGGCTCAGGAGGCAGCACGTACCTCCCAGATGGTCTTTTCTCTGCCTCCGATGCAGAGTTCTCATCTGAGCCTTCCCCAGACTCCAGGACTGGCCTATGTTCCTCCCCAAACTCCTCACTGTCCAACTCTGCTGCCAGTTCCTCAGGCCGCTGGCAGACCCCAACAAGAAGAACCATGGTGGTGCAATGGATAGAATGCAGTATTGCAGGCTAACTCTGCTGACTGCCAGCAGTTCGATCCTGACCGGCTCAAGGTGGACTCAGCCTTCCATCCTTCCGAGGCAGGTAAAATGAAGACCCAAATTTTTGGGGAGAAAATACTGACTGTAAACTACTTAGACAGGGCTGTAAAACACTATGAAGCAGGATATAACTCTAAGTGCTATTGCTATTAATACAATTTGTATGCTACCCAGCTCCACCCAAACCCTGCCCAGCTCATGACCAAAAAAAAAAAAAAAAAAAATTAACCAACCCAAGGACAAAAATAGTTACAAAATAACTCCCCTTGGTGCTAGTGCCACAGCACTTTCCTGATTTCACTCTTATCTCTTGGGTCTACTTATTTTGCTGATTGGAATTTCTATTCCTTCTTTGTTTCCTGTTGGTACTCCTCAGGATTTCATTCAGCCTTTCACTCTTTAAACTCACCCCCTAGGTTCTTGAATTTCAACTTTTCCATTTCAGTATCAAATTTATACCAACACCATCATGGTGCATACTTTGTCTGTAGCTGTTTGTCAGATTGCCTTGCAGGGTTCTCAATTTCAGTATTATCACACCACCCAAAGTTCAACATGGACCAAGTAGAAATTGTTTTTTTCATCTGGCTTCTGCCTCTTCACAGGCTATTTCTCCCTTTTATTTCCAAAATATCAGCTGTTTATATCTTAAGTGGTTACCGGAGAGCTTGTGCGGAAGATAAACTCACTACGAATCCATTCATGGCATGGTAGGGGTATTGCAATTTCCAGTTTAGGAATATATGCAGTTTAGCCAGTTCTGAGATGGAAAACCAAATAATTCATGATCTGATTATTTTACAGCTGAATAATTTTAGCTTTTTGTTCTCTTGGCTTCCTCAATAGTTTCTCATTCAAATCCAAAACAATATTATGAAGCTCGTTTAAAACTTCCCAGTTGTCCCCAAAGTTCCGTTTAGATGCAATCTCTTCCACTGACTTCCAATCAAGCCACATTATCAATTTATGTTGTAAACTGCCAAGGATTGTTGGACACACGATGGGCGGCAAATTTTCATCATAAATAAAAATAAATAACTCAATTTAGACTCCTTGTTTTGGTACTCTATCCTCTTCAAACATTCCAACACATGGGGGTCTTTGGTGTTCTCTGAACTTGGTTATTTTCTTACAGTTGTTTCATTACCAAACTAGGTAGCATCATCAGTGCTAGAAGGGAGTGGAGTTTGCTTTTTTTCATATAGGATCAATGTTGCCCTTGTCAGTGTTCTTAGTGGTTCCTTTCTTAGACTGTTGTTTACTGTTAGCTTGTTTGTCTGAGTTGGTAGTTCCTTATTTGGGGTATTGTTTACTTCTTGGTTGTTGGTCTAGTATTAATCTAGGTGTTTTTCTGGGTGTTGATTTCTCTGTTTGATTGATCTGCTTTTCTGGGTGTTGATTGCTTGGTGGGGAGGTGTTTGGGTCTTTTTGTTTTCTGAGGGGTCCTTGGTGCTCTCTGATCCTGGTTGTTTTCTTGCAAACATTTCATTACCCAAACCAGTTCTCCATTAAGGCAGCAGTTATGAATGGGCATACAGTAGCTCTATAGATGCAGATGTGCCACATTTGCTGAGAAGGATGGGAAAGTAATAAAGTAGAATGGGGTCTCACTTTGATCCAGTGTTTCCTAATCTTGGCAACTTTAAAACATTTGGACTTCAACTCCCAGAATTCCCTAGCCAGCCATGCTAGGTGGCAGTATTTTAATTCCCCATGTTGCCTGGGAAATTCTGGAAGTTGAAGTACAGATGTCTTAAAGTTGTCTAGACTGAGAAACATTTCTTTGATCTATCATTTAGCTTCAGATAATTACATTTTGTAACCAGTGGCAATGCTAAGACTGGATTAGTATGCTCAGGTCCAAAGAACCTCCAGGGACCTGAATTTCATTTGGCTTTTCTAAGAAGTCCTATTAGTATGACCATCTTATGGCTCTATTAAAATGGACAGAAGTAAAAAGTTGTTATCGCCTGATTTAAAAAGGCTAGCAATGTGTAATAAGAAATAATTTTAGAAGAGTTGACTCCCTCAAGTCAGGCTACTCACTACCTTTTTCTATTTTAGAAACCAGGTTAAAATCATCCTCTGCCACAGGGCACTGGTGGACTGAAAGTTTAATGGGAGACAGCAGTATTTTGGGAAGGGGGATATTGTAATGTATGATGGATTTTTATGAATATTTATTAAATAGATTTCTATGACCACCCAACTCACACACAGGGACTTGGGTTGGGGTACAGCATTAAAAATCATCAACAATATAGAAGCCACAGAGAACTCTTCTTCCAGCAGCAATGAACACAAGCATATCAGCCACTTGATCAATTTAGGATTCCCAGCCCCACTGACAGAATCAGGCCTTCAGCGACTTCCAGAAAAGTAACAAGGATGGGCCAACCTTATTTCCAGGGGGGTGATGTTTCAAGGGGAAGGAGCCATTACAGAGAAGGCCCTTCTTTTAGGTCCCTTCAGGTGCACTTCCTTAAGAGATGGGACCCACAACATATTCTGCCTCTCCACTCTGGTGGCTGGATAGATGTATATTTTAATGCATGCTGGTTGGAACGGCTTGGTTAGGTAGGAAAGCAAGAAGGAAGGAAGGAAGGAAGGAAGGAAGGAAGGAAGGAAGGAAGGAAGGAAGGAAACAGAAGGTAGGAACTGGGAAGCAAAAGAAGATGGGGGCATGGAAGATGGAACTATAGTTTTGATTGGGAAAGAGCCTTCTATTGCAGTGCTTCCCTTTTTTTTTTCTTTTTGACACAAGAAATACAGTATATTCAAAATAATATGGCTGATATGCATCACAGGAAAGCCAATCAGGAAATAATTGATTTCTGGAAAGGTAAAGCCCTTTTAAAATACTGTTTGATTGTTTTATGTATCTGTACCTGAACAAAGCCCGGTCCCAAACAGATGGACACAATAATGTTTATATTTCCCTGCTAATCCAGAATGCCTCTGAAATGTTTCCTATAAAAGAGAAGCCTATCAGAAATTAAGGTGATGCAATTCCCTTCCTAGTTATTGAAAGGAGGATTTAGATAAGAGGGGGGAAGGAGTTGAAAAAAAAGAAAGAAAGAAAATATCAGAGGAAGAAGCAGAAAAAACAGGACAAGTGAAGCTTAGGAGTGGTATATCTAGCTGGGGGTTTGAGGCAAAGTTTTATATCTTATCTTGGCATAGCCTGCTTATCTCCATTTATATTCTAACTGAACATCCATAAGTCAGCCTAATATTTTTACTTGCTTGAAAGTCACTCAGAATCCTGGAAGGTCTCATTGTTCAGAAATGGGTGGAACATATCACAACATTTATGGCTGAAATGCTAGCCACAGTTAAAGCAGAGTAATAATTTTAATATCAATAGATGAAGACTACAGTACTGCTCGTTTAGTTTTCCCCCTGCATTCCTGCTTAAGCTCATTGATTCTGTAGCTGAGATGGCAATGGGGTGCCCCACACTATGGT